CTTCGAAGTAGACAATTCTCGTGCCAAAATTTAGGCTTAGACTTTTACCATAAATTCTTACTATAACATATACTATAACATACTACAACAATTTAGACGCACTTCCTTATACTAGTAATTAGTTATTAATGTAGTAGGATTATTTTATAAATAAATAAATTATTATTATTATTATTATTATTATTATTATTATTATTATTATTATTATTATTATTATTATTATTATTATTATTATTATTATTATTAGGGTTAGGTTAGGGTTAGAGTTAGGGTTATGGTTATTATTATTATTATTATTACTTGAGTAGTCGAAAATATCGATTCTTCGGTGAACAAGTACATCCGAAAATGGCTGGAAGTACCTATATCTGGAACACTAAGTAACGTTTTTCTAACCCGTAATAAGTTTGGTCTAAATATCCTCCCTGCATCAGTCCAATTCATTCAGTGTCAAACAGTTCTACGCAATGCCCTAAAAACATCTCCAAACGATTCAATAAACGAACTGTGGAAGTCAATTAATAATCATACTAACATTCAATACGATAGCTACAACTCAACTAAAGAAGTTTTAAAAACTTTCCATTCTCAACAAGAAAATAAACTTAGGAACCGTTTGAAATGTCAAGGTTCCTTTTTCGAAAATGTTTCTAAATTTTCCCTATCACAACTTAACGCAATCTGGTCGTTATCGCAATCAAAGCTACCAAAGAACATTTTCAACTTTACAATTCGCTATATAAATAATACCCTTCCTACCCGAAAGAACGTCAGTAGATGCGGAATTTCATCAAGTTCTGACTGATCGTTCTGCTTACACCCTGAATCACTTCTACACGTTGTTGCCGGTTGTCAACATTACTTGGAACGATTTACTTGGAGACACGATTGCATACTAAACTTTCTTGCAAAAACGTTTCAAAGTTTAAACGAATGCAAATTACATGTTGATCTTCCTGGATTTGAAAGCCCCTCGATTATTACGGGAGATGAATATCGTCCTGATTTACTTGTCTCCACTTCAGACAAACACCTCTACGTTGTTGAACTTACCGTATAGGCCGGCTTTGAATCAAACCTCACAAACAATGTTAACCGCAAGAAAGCTAAATATAAAAACCTAACTATTAGAGAACTGGATCAAAACTTTACATCTGTTAAATTTATAAATCTTTCTGTCAGTTCGCTAAGTTCGCTAGGGGTGTTTGACAAAGAATGTCATACATTCGTCAAAATGCTAAATGAGTTAGGACTGGATAATCAACACCAACAATATTGTATCAGAAAAATTATATCTATTGCCATCCGATCAACGTACTACATATTTTGCTGTAGAAATAAAGAATGGACAAATCCCGAACTAATGAACATTTAAAGTAACTATTCCTATAAAAAATTAACAATTTTTGTATATAAAATTATAACCATGCATGTATAAGTGATTCAAAGTAGTCAATTGTAGGTTACCTCAAGAAGTGAGATTTACAATTGTATATATCTATAAATATTCTATTAATAAAGTTTTCATTATTATTATTATTATTATTATTATTATTATTATTATTATTATTATTATTATTATTATTATTATTATTATTATTATTATTATTATTATTTAACTTTTTAACGAGTGAAGATCTTATTTTACAACGCCTAGCTTGTTCTTTACTAGCAGTATAAAGGTCGAGACACACCGGACCCGCCTTGCAAATCACGCCGCCAGCTGCAAGAAAAGGTTATTATAGGGCCTTATAGCGCCCTACTACTCTACCTCAATATTTTACAATTACTTTAACGAATACATATACACCACGTTTATGAACGTGCCAGAAGTAACATTTGACAGAAGATCTTGGCCGAAAGGTTTATATCAGTTTTCCGTGGGGAAAGAAGACTCGGGAAAAAGCTTTTGGAACAATACAGAGAACATCAAGCAAAGGGTATGTGAAGTTTGTACGCGTTGGTGCATAATTAGGGAGCTTAAGATGCACCAAATCTACGACGCGGACGCGACTAAAACTGAAACAATCGCTAATAATGGGAGACTAGTTTTACTTTGTTTTTCTCGTGCTCCTGGCTTTGTTTACCAACAACAATCCATAGTTTTTACCCGTGAAGTGAAACTGTGATAATAGTGCCAGTTTTTCGTCACGTCCGCGGCGTAGATTTGGTGTATCTTAAAGGGATACGGCAATATACTTTTTTATTATTTCATTTTAAAGAACTTTCAAAATTATATGTTAATCTCCTTTACCGATTTTGCGTAACTTTATTATTTCTTGAAATATTTTGACTTAAAATAATTTGCTGTCCGCCATCTTGGATTAATTTTTATCTCATTATCGGTGGTTTTAGTGACGTCATAAGCAGGGTTAGCCATATAAAACTACATCTAAATGACCAAATAACATTATGTCTTCTTTGAAAAGTCATCAGACAGTTTTGTATTTCAAATAGTTACTGAACTATATGATTTTGGGCTCATAATAACCAATTGCTCTATGGATAAATTCTTGCGTGACCCTGCTTATGATGTCACATGCATATCCGCCAAAATCCAAGATGGCGGAAAGCTCGCTGATTTGTGATTTTTTCTGTTGAAATATCTCAAGAAATAATAAAGTTATGCAAAATCGGTAAAAGAGATTTACATATAATTCTAAAAGTTCTTCCAAATGAAATAATAAAAAATATATTGCTGTATAGGGATACAGCTCTCTAAGGCCGATTTCCATTGCAGTCACGCGCTTTGCCCGCGCGGGCGCAGCGAACATTACTGATCAATTTTCTCTCTAGTTGTCTAACCTCTGCATTTTTTGTTCGCCTGACTGCTCGCGGACACGGCCATGAAAGTTGAACTACATTCAACAGTCTTGGCGTGCACGCGCGACTGATTAGTTCACGTGATTAAAATTAGTCGCTTCACCCACGCGGGCAAAGCAATGGAAAACGACCTTAATCATGTGATATCGCAGTTAAATCAACTGAGCATTGTTTTTACACAGCATCACTGCAAAGCCGGCAAGCTGCGGTTTGAGGGGGAATCAACGCATACCCGGGGGCCGCCTGTATCAACGATGGCCGTTAAGCTTAGAAAGCAAGTCTATAGATTCGCTCACTCAACAACCAAACTAAAAGTTACATATTCAGTGCACAATATTTAAATTGACTGATTCACGAGAGATATCGATATATAAGACTGTTATTTAATTTTGACTTGATACAACCGGCCCTTGGTTCTACATCGGGTAACGGTAGACAGGCAAGGTTTGACACAGAATATACCTGGTACTGTCACATCGGATAACTATGTTGTTGGGGGTGGGGGGGCGCTATGTAGACCATGCATAGATTTATATTGATTGGTACAATTTTCCTGGGTGCGGTTGAGAAGGATAGTTTTCAGCAGAAGAAGGTAATTGTTTTTCAAATACTATATTATATATTAGTCCTTAATTAATAACCGCAAATCTGAGGGAAATGAAGTTGTGATTAAATTTGTAACTGAACTGAATATTAAAATGTTGCGCATTTTGACACCTTGTTTCTTGTACACGAAGGATGGCCAAGTCACCAAAAATACATTTTTATTTGACTACAAACGTTAGGAGTCATAATCTATTTGACTCAACTAGCGATTTAGTCGGAAAAATTATCATTAATTACGCTCCACTAAAAGTGTCAGATTTCCAGAAAACATACGGCTAGAAACGGAAATTTTACACCATGCAGGCCAAACGGCTCGGCTCAAGCACGTGGTCAAAGTCTATATACGTAGTTAAACAAAAATAAAAACAACAAGAAAGATATTAAATCAAAAGATGTAGTCCCTCGAAACAGAATTCACCGAAGTGGAACACCATCGGCGTCAGAGTGAATCACTCTAACATGGCCATTAAAACCACGCTCTGCCGTTGTACATAAAACTGTACGAATGAAAACCTTGCGAAGAAGAGAGAGAGTAGAAAACAAAAATTTTGTCAGATTTGGTGAAAAATTTCTAGATTTCCTAGATTTGTCAGCTGAATAGAACGCTTCATCACAATGACGCATGCCCAAATAGAAGTTAATATTTTAATATTTTAAAGTTTAATGAGACAGTCCGCGCTGCGGAAGTCAATGTTATTGGGTCCCCCCTTAAACGTATGCTCCGTTTGTTGCGCTTCACGGCATTGACTAGCTCTACGGCCATTTTATATCGACACATATTTTGTTTGAGATTCGAAGTTAAAGGAATTTTGCTGTACATTTATTTTTGCCTGGGCTGGTTCACCGTGGCAGCAGCATAAGTAGCGGAGGCTTGAGAGTTTCTCAACACTCTCGAGGCCTTGGGTTATTGGGGAATATACATATGTTGGAACGATAATGGTGAGCGGCCATGATTTTTGTTTTTGGTGTTTCGCGTGAAGTCCCCTGCTTGTATTTTGAGCAATAAGGATTTGTTGGCTCCGTGAAAAAGTTTGTAAACTTCTCTAATTATTTGTCTCCGTCCAATATTTAGTAAACGATGGTCAGAGTTCGCGTTATCTCCTTCATGGATTTTTGTGATCAACAAGTCGCTTTACTTTAGACTTAGTGGTCTGTTGTGTTCCGAGCCAGAGGTGTGTAGTAGATATGGCCGAACAGCAAGTTGACGGACCTCCAAGTAAGAAGCAGAAAGTTGGTAGTACTAGTACCCCAACTGATAATGAAGGTATGTATTACACAAACTTCGTACAAGTTTGTAGTTTTACGTTGTTTTATAGTTGTTTTGAGACGAGTTTCGTTCAGTCACTGTCGCCATAATAACCCAGTCTTCCTGTTGAAGACTTCACATTGCGACGCTGTTGAGCGAAGCTCGTTTCACCGTTCATATTTTTAATCGAGAATTTTTGTCAGCAGACACGTTCTTGGACGAACTACCAGAAGAGTTGTTCGAAACTAGAAATGGAGAGACAGAGGACAATAATAGTAAGCCCAACGAATTGCAACAGTTATTGGAGAACGAAACGCCGAACAGTAATTTGTCAAGTAACAAAATACACCAAAATGCAAATCCCGTTGGAATGACCGGCAAGAACTTGTCAAATCCAAGCAGTCCTGCAATAAATAATAACACTAATTCTGTGCCATCTCCAAGTATGAACAATAATGCAATGGTTTCTCCAGCACAAATTACAACTAGTTCAACAAATATGGCATCACCTCAACCTTCTGTACCAAACCTGAGTGCTGCTGCTAATATGAACTCACAACATCACTCTACCTCAGGCCCACTCAATCCTACGGCACCTTCCAACTCTCATGCGATGACTACGAACGCTGCACCATTGACTAGCATGCCTCAAAATTTTCCTGTCGCATATAATGCTGCATCGCCGCAAGGACTAGTAAATCCTGCAATGTTGCAGACAAGAATGAGAAATGGTCCCATATCAATTCAAAACTCTAGTCCTATGCATAATTTTGGAAGACAAATGACATCAGAGCAAGCAAATCATATGAACACTGTCAATTCGCTGACAAACAGTACTATGCCGACTATAAAAACAGAACCCAATTACATGATGGGACAGCCTGGAATGGCTATGAACCAAGGGGGAATGGCCGTGAACCAGGGTGGAATGACTGTGAACCAAGGTGGAATGTCCCTTGGAGAGGTGAGTTAGATTAAAATAATTGATTTTTATATTTCCAGCTAAACAATCAAGGTTAAATAACCCCTTATTTTAACTTGAGTTTGTGTTCTTTCTTCATTGTTTAACTGATTGTTGAATGAATCTAGATTGTTTTCATACACAACTAATTGTTTTGTTCTTCTAATTGTTTGACACTGTTTATTATTTTGTTAATATCCAACCACTTATATTTGCACCATAAGCAATAACCATATGTCATCAGCATTTAAATGTACTGTTGAATGTACACTCTTTGTTTTATGAATGTTTTCAATGGTGTGAGTTCGCATTGATATTCAGGTCAGAGTCTCTAGAAGTCAACTTGACTCCGTATTGTAAATATGGGATTAACACGTGGTGAGAAAAAAATACAACAAGCAGAGTTTAAAAATTTGCATCCCGATATCCATGTGATACCTCATTTTAAATTTGGATACTGGATATCAAGACTAAGGAAAATGACAATATAAATTTTTATTTTTTCATTTGAAAGAACTTTTGAAACTATATAATTAACTTCTTTTACCGATTTTTCATATCTTGCTTAGTTCTTGAAATATTTTCACTTGAAGTAATGAGATGTCCGCCATTTTGGTTAAATTTTTTTATCTCATCAACGGTAGTTTTGGTGACGTCACAACAGGGATTAACCATATAAAAGTATTCGTCGCTGACCAAATATTGATTGGTAGATGTTTTAAAGGTTTTGAGTGATCTTGATATTTCATAGGGCAGACAGAGTGTAGTTTTGAGTGCAAAATGATTAGTGTTTGTCTAGATAAAAATATTGTGTAACCCCTGTTGTGACGTGACATGCATATCTACAAAAATTGAAGATGGCAGACATTTCATTCCTTTCAATCAAAATATTTGTAGAAGTAAGCAAGACATGAAAGTTCCGGTTCCAGTTCCGGCCGGAACTAGTAAAAAAAGCATGGCCGGAACCGGAACTCTGTCGTTTTCAGAGAGATAGAATATCAAACGTTTTTGTGTCTAACAAAAGGTCACAGTAGGAAGAAATTTGGACTACGCAAGGGAAATGCACACTATTAACACTTCATTATGACGTTTAATGCTTGTCAATCTTTTTATTCTAACATTTGCGAGCTCTCTCCTTGATGACTTGAAGTGTCTGCCTGTCTGACAGCGGACAAAGTAACATATTACTATATATGGCTAATAAATTAGTTCCGGTTCCGGTCGGAACTTTTTTCCAATTTTGGTCTGACCCGGTTCCGGCCGGAACTTAAAAATCTGGTTCCGGTGCACCCCTAATTGTATATAGTCTTAAAAGTTCTTTCAAATGAGAAAATAAAAGAAATATATTGCCATTTCCCTTTAAGTATCCATTTGGATTTAAAAAAATTCTCTGCTCTGCAGATTTTCTCTCAAAGAAAGAAAACTAACAATGGAATTTGAATTTAGCTTCAATGTTTTGATACTGAGCAAACTCGATTGTCTATTATCCAAATGTGGAGTACCGGTACTAGTTTTTTGTGTGAATACCAAATTTTAAGTTACTAGTATCCCATTGGATAGTGCTGAAAATTTGAAATTTCAAGCCCTGACATAATGTATCTAAATGGGTTAATTAAAGCCTGGCTTCCATGTGGTCGCAACGATTGTAAAGATAGAGTATGGTCTTTCTCAACGGCCAGATTATAATAGTTTTTACCTGTAAACCACATATAAATCATTATTTATAATCACTCTGCCTATTATCATTGTTAGACTGTTGTATTTCAGCTGTTGAGAAAGATTGTGACTCAATCTTTACGACCGTTACGATCATATGGAAACCAGGCTAAACATTTCGTAACTCGTTAAGTTGCATTGTACCCTTCTGTGCCCTACTTTATTATTTTGCTCTGTCTAATGCCAGATTATTTTACTCAGTCTAATATCGGATGATTTTACTCATCAACTGGCATCAAGGGGCCAAGGGCCTATTTAGATGCCCCTGTCTAGGTTGGATGTGACTGTTGCCTGGGATTGATCATACTGGATCCATCCCTGACTGTTGCTGAGATCCCAATCCTAAGATAAATAGAGGATTTTACACGGCGGCGCGAAGATGACTTTTATCTTCGAGTGGTGAAAACAATGTTTTACAAACAAGCGCAACAAGTGAGTAAAATATTGTTTTTAATACGAGAAGATAAAAATCATATCTTCAAGCCACCGTGTAATGTTCTGTTTATTATATAGTCCCAAGCAAAAAATTGTGAAATTTCACGCTCAAAAGCAAATTGGGAAAAGTCACATGATCGATATCTTCACTAGTGAAGATATGGAAAATATCTTGCTGTATTTTTCAGTAACTCACTCTCTACTATATAATAAACTATGTTGTTGAGTGTTAATATGATCCCATCATCCCACTTCCATAGCCTAGCGGGACGAGAAATTCCCAATTTCCCATTTCCAACACTCTATCCTGGCTGCCAGATGAACTCGGCACAGAGCCCACATAAATGCCTTTTCTGTAAATAAATTTGTCCTCAAACACTTATCTATGGTATCTTCCCATATAAACATACCATCCTGTCTTAGGAGTTTCTTTGTTACACAGGATAAATATGTCCTGCCTAACAATTATCTCCTAAATAAGCAAATTTGTATGTACTGTACCTATGTACAAATATGAAATTTAACTGCATGACTTCAATCCTCACAATTTTGATAAGTCTGGGCAAGAAATTGCTGTCGATATTTTAGAGTTTGCCAGCAGTTCGATGGAGAACTCTAAAATAATGTATATTTACCACCTGTGCACACCATCACTGTACTTACTTATATGAAAAATATGCCTGGCCACGGTGGGAATCGAACCTACAACCTTTGGAGTACTAGCCCAATGCTCTCCCAACTGAGCTACGCGGTCAGGTCGGTTCGAGTATGTGATATTTCAGAACTGTGTCTAGTTCCTTCGATATCAATGTAATCTAATAATCATGATTTGCTGTGTTGGTGTTGTGTACTCAATTAAATATGATGTTTGTGATATAACTCTGAGTGTGTATCCACACCGGGCAAGCTTGAAAAATATGCCCGGCCACGGTGGGAATCGAACCTACAACCTTTGGAATACTAGCCCAATGCTCTCCCAACTGAGCTACGCGGTCAGGTCGGTTCGAGTAACATCACAAACATTATATTTACCTGAGTACACAACACCAACACAGCAAATTATTTTTAAAGTATTGTATTTTGTTTGGGACACAGGAAGCAGTTTGTATTAGACAAGGTCCTTGTAAGGGAGGTGGAGTAATGAGAGCTTCAACTATACATAGCATTGTGTTTTCAACAAAACAATTATAATTAACCCATCGAGTGGCAGCACTCTCCCCCTAATGAGTAAAATCGTCTGGTGTTAGACAGATTAAAATAATAAAGTAGGGTGAATCTGGGTGCATTGCTACATAAAGGGTTAACATAATAAGGGCCTGCTTGTTATATGTAAATTTATATTGTAAAATTACTAGGCATTGCAAGATAATTAGCCATTCCGAAGTTGATGAGAGGACTGGGGACGAATGTTAAAAAGTGCCCAAATTAAGAAATGAACCAAATCACTAAAACGACCACCTCAAAATTAGTAAGTATACAAAGTTTGAAGACGTTTACATCAATACCCTTCGAATAATTAGCTTTCGAAATGGTGATATTTACTATGAAATGTACTGTAATTTTTGTTTTTTGGGACGCGCGCCCCAAAAACAATCTTTTAATCAGCAATTTCACAATTTTCGAAAGCTTATTATTCGAAGGGCATTCATGGAAACATCTTCAAACTTTGTATACTTACTAATTTTGAGATGTTTTTTTAGTGATTTGGTTCATTTCTTAATTTGGGCACTTTTTAACACTCGTCCCCAGTCCACTCATCAACTTCGGAATGGCTAATAGGTCTAGTAATTTTACAAGATAAATGTACATATGAGGAACGGGTCTGCTTGGTCGGATTCCGGCTGTATAAACCAAGTCCACAGGTAGGCAGTATGACATTTTTTTGATATGGTTACACCAACAGCAGCCCACTTAACCGAGATAAACTCAAGAAATTGGAATTTTAGATTTTGCCATTTAATTTAACAATATCTACTATAGTTTTGTGTTTTATTTTGTAAACAAGTATTAATAACACATTGAGCATCAACATTTCCCTTTGATGAGTAAAATGGTCTGGCATTATACAGAGTAAAATATAGAAATAGGGCACATTAGGGTACAGTGCAACTTACATGTAAGGTTACTTTACACGATGAACGTGCGTTTTAGTCTATTGGACATTGCGCAATGAATTTTAGGTGTAACTTTACCAAATTTTTAGTGAAGAAAGCCAGGAAAATGATGATTTCAAAAATTTTCATTTGATGGGTGTTTTGTTTAATTAAACATTTTCAGTATTGGCTGACTGAGTAAATATGTATGTACCTTCATAAAAAAATCAAAATATGTTTATAGTTTACCTCAACGTTTGTCTAGATATCGCAATTCGAATCTTCATAGGCATGATAAAAAAACGTGTGCGGAAAATTTCTCTTCCTTAGTGGTTTTTCTGATATGCCCTGATTCTTGGGTTTGTCACTGATAATTCACAAAACGTCATATCAGAGAAACCATTGAAGAAGAGAAATTTTCCGCACACGTTTTTTTTTTTACCGTACCTATGAAGATTCAAATCGATATATGTAGACAAACGTTGAGGTAAACTATAAACATACTTTGATTTTTTTTATTGGATACCTATGTATTTCTTTAGTCGGCCAATACTGGACATGTTTAAACAGAACACCCATCAAATGAAGATTTTCAAAATCAGCATTTTATTGGCTTTCTTCACTAAAAATTTGGTGAAGTCACACTTAAAATTCAATAGACTAAAACGCACGTTCATCATGCGAAGTAACCTTAATGGGATAAATATTTTGCTAAACCAATGCTTTTTCTTGCAAGTAAATGAAGAAAAAGACCAAAATTGTTAAGACATTTGTATTGCATGTCTGAATCGTACACGTTTTGCTATTTTGCAAGCTGTAATTATAGAACCATGTTGTAATTTCATATCGTGGACACATGGAAATATTTACCTTGCCAGGCAAGATGGACGCATTAAGCCCGCGTTTTCCACTAGGCGAATTTGTTCGCGTGAAGCGAAAAAGTTGGATCAGTTCCTACTTGGGCTTAAGACAAGTTATTTTCCAAAGATTCGTGGAAATTGCAAAGATACCACAAAGATGCCATATACGATTGGTTGGGTTGTGTTTATTACATGTACCTTTTGTCTCCACTAACATGGCTAAATAGCAGTGGTGCCTAAATTACTTTGAATTTGTACTCGAGTAAAAGTAGAAGTAATTAACAATAAAACGATTTGAGTAAGAGTAAAAAGTACTGGAGGCATAACGTACTTGAAAAAGTACAAAGTATCCTTAATAAATACTTGAAGTACAAAGTAAAAGTACTATTGTCTATAGCGTGTAGGGGGACTTTTCCAATGGATTGACATACAAAAGACAAAACAGCACACGCACTATATGCGTGCACCATAATATACAATATTTCACGGCATGGTCTACTTTCCAGACCCCGTTGAAGATATAAGAAATCCATTAAATAAAAAATAATGCTTATATGTAGGGGTCCTATTACCTATCCCAAAATTAAAATAAATCAGGAATAAATCACGTAAAATTAAACAAATGTGATAAAGTAACGAAATACTTCGCCACAAAATGAAAATAACGAAGTAAAACGTTACTTCTTAAAACGACTTCGTTCCAAGTAAAAGTACCGTCCAGAAAAAGTTTACTTTGTTACATGCTCACTTCTCAAAAATAGTATTCAAGTACAGTAACGAAGTACATTTACTTCGTTACTTGACACCACTGAGTTTGGTTGTAAAAACCGAAAGTTACGTCAATACCTACCCTTGTAACATATTCATTGCCATTGACGCAGAATAAACATCCTTAAGTAAATAAAAAAAATGTTCAATCAGTGCGTGTCTTATGTTTTCTCCTCGAAAAATTGACATAATTTCCTTACCAAGTATTCTACAAAACAACATGGAGCGTTTCCTTTGTTTAGCATTTTTATTCTCTTAAAACTTTGAGTCCTGTAACAGAATATCAGGAAATATATAAGATAATCATTTACAAGAATTGCTCATCGGTGTTTATGAATGAGCACGCGTTAGACCGACTTGGTTTTATTTTGAAATGCAATATCGCGTATTAGTTTGAAGGAGCTAGTATTGTAAGGCCTACCATGGTCATTGTAAAGTCATGTTTTCTCAGTACATTTTTGGTCAGGCATGCAAACTAAATCAATTCTCATCTTCACATCTCCACAATAAAGGATGGGAACCATATTGATCATATACCTCCCACCCTTTTTTCAAATGCCCATTTTACTCCTGATAACAGTAACACATCAGTTTGAAAATTTCTCTCTCCCCTGACAGAAACGGTTAGCAAGAAACTATAAACCACGGAATACTTCACAAATAAACATTTTGACTAGCGTTGTTCACATCGTTGCTCTAAAAAAAGTGACCCTTTAAGGCCTGATTCCACGAGCGCTCTTTGTCAGCGAAATGCGAAATATTTCGCCTGTTTCTTTTGAATTGCGACCACTCGAATAAATTATTTCTACTTGATTGCTCACAATTCAAAAGAAACAGGCGAACTATTTCGCATTTCGCTGACAAAAAGCGCTCGTGGAATCAGGGCTTTAGAAATCACACGTTTGTTGTAAACGCTCAAAATTCTAATTGAAAGTCAGTTGACTCAGCTTGACTACAGAGCAAAGAGTTTTTCATAATCATATGCATATGTTGAACGATACCACACACTTTTAAGTAACTGCTATGTATAAAATTCGATTCAATTGTGTTACCCATGCCCCATGGGTACAGTTTTGGATTCATGCAGGCATTGAAATTAAAACAATAAGGTGAATTTCTAAAGGGTCACATTTTTTTGAAACACCCTGTATAAAATAGAAGTACAGTAGAACAATCGTAATTGGGTATAGACAAATGACGTTAGCCAAGTTTGTCTACAGTATAGTTATGATCTCTTCTATCTTCGTTACCTTGAGAACAGATTATGTAGTTCCGTTTCTGTACACGTTTGTCCCAAATTAGCCACAAACAAAGTGGAACACACGCTGTTTTCACTGGTTACCATCGCAGGATGTCCGCGCAAGGAGAACGTACTAGATTGCATATTGAGTGGTTGATACAGTGGGTGGTGCTGTAAAAGAATGCGATGAGTCTATCAGTTCTAGACTGTTCTTCTTATTAAAGCCCAGTACAGATGGGAAGAAATTTTCCCATGACAAATTTTATTTGCTCCTTGAGAATTTTTCCTTGCCAGGGAAACTATGCCAGCTTTTGGACAAGGAAAATTCGTTCGGACGTGTGTACTGCCGCCAAGGAAAACTTGACAGGTGTACAAGTACAAGAAATACTTCTATAGTTTTGGCAAACAAAAGGCGGTCTTGATAAATATTTGACAACATTCCGTTCAACCAAATTTGATAAGGAAAACTCTTTAATCAAATGCTCTATAGCCGTGACTATAAAGTGTATCGAAAACCGGCATACGGCTGTATAGCCAGGAAATACAAATATCAGGCCAGTACAAGTAGTATATATCGTGCTATTCTGGTTAGTTTTTCACGTTCGTTCGTCAAAATAGAGGCCAATAGAGAGTATGGAAACCAACAACAATAATTAAGAATTACTTATACTTTTGTATTCGAGCCAAAACATACATTAGACGTCATTATTAAACTTTAACTAAAAAACACTTATCTTTCTTTTAAACAACCCTGAAATTCCCTGAAGTACAAATGGGAAGTGAATTCACATAAAACACCCCAAACGACTTGAACGTTTTACTCTGTTGGCCGTGAAAATAACATAACTAACCGTCTAACGACTACGGCGTAATAGAATCGTAAATAGAATGCTCAAGGGAATGAAAATTATAGTCGCCTTTGTCTTAGAGTAAATATGTTATTGTTCACGAGCGCCTTCTCGTTGCCGTCGTATTTGCCAAACTAGGCTCTTTATTATTTTCCCGAAAACAGACGGCAGTTTCCAGTCTAAATCGAAGAGTAATGACTGGGTACGAACCTGTAATGTGTGTGGAAAGTGATTGATAACGGGTGAATGTATGGGTGACGGTAGAGGTGACGTGGGGCTATCTCCGTATGGAATTCTAGAAAATGAAAATGGTATGAGAACTCAAACAAAAACTGGTTTCATTTATATTGATTTGTACAGAACTTGTGTACGATTTCTCGACTGGCATCCAATCAATGAGGGCCTGTCACGCAGGCTATAGATAAAAACGTACAACAAGCTGTCGACAAGTTGTGTTCGAACTGCTTGTTCCCAATTGTTGTAACAAGTTTGGAACAAGCTGCTAATAACTTGTAACAATCGCGTCTTGATGGCATTATCAGACTTGTTGCAAGGTTAATGTTCTAACAAGTCTGATACAGGCATGATATAACAATAATATTACAAGGTTGACCACACAAGGTTGTAACAATATTGTTATATCCCGACTGTATCAGACTTGTTGGAACAACCTTGCAACAATATCTGATAATACCAACAAGGTTGTTACAACTGTTAACAAGTTGTTCCATACTTGTTGACAACTTATGACGCCGGTGTCCCAGTTGATTTGGACCCCCGTAGATTTGGACCCCCGGTCCATATCCACTAGTAGATATGGACCCCCCGGTCCAAATCTCCTAGCAGATATGGACCCCCGGGGGTCCAAATCTACTAGTAAATACGGACCCCCGTTGGCGGATTTGAACCCCCCTTCAAAAGTTAAATATATGTAATGTGAACACAATAATATAAACCAAATTAATAATAGCGATCAATCTGAAGTATTTTATCATAGGAAAATAGAATACAGTGTGACTAAAATCTATGTATAGTATTTGCCAATAACGAATCACTGTGTAACAAAAGCGATAGAAATGGCATTTGGATCGACACGAAACACGATTTTCATGAATGTTTTTGAACAATCACAGTGGTGGTGACTCATCTAAATGGAAGCCTGTGACCATCCACCAATGATTTTTAACAAAAACCATAGAAATAGCATATTAGAGCAACGCCATTCCATGAATATTTTTAAACAATAAGTGATGTTTGTGAGTCTTTGCTAATGGGTTTTTTAACAAAAGCCATAGAAATAGCATATTAGAGCAACGCGATCCATGAATACTTTTAAACAATAAGTGTGACCTATCAGTTGCCTTGCAGCTATATAAATGTTTTAGTGTCATTCGCGATTTCAATGCGAATAGAACTATAATCTCTGTTTAACGCAAAATGGCTGATTTGACTGCGTACGAAGAAGTATTTCATTATCTTCGCGACAACGAGTACCCCAATTCTTACAACAAAGACCAGAAGAGGAACACCGTTATTGGGGTTGTTTTTAGTATATAAAAGTGTTTAAAAAACGGGGGTCCATATCTACTAGGAGATTTGGACCGGGGGGTCCAAATCTACTGGGGGGTCCAAATCCGCTGTGACACCGGGGGTCAACCCCTGGGGAAGCCGATGATAAGTGCATTATCACATGGATGAGCCAGTGTATTTGTATTCTCAGTACCTCTATGCACATCTACAGGACACAATCCACATACACACTCTGAAGAACAGATTTCACAACAGTTATGCATCAACAATAGCAATGATTTTTTTTTGCTTTTCTTTAAAGTATTTCAGGACTTCTAAATGCTGGCATTGCACACAGTTTTTGATAAAAGCTCTCATGTTTTCATCACAGTGATGGAGGTGGTAATTTTTATAACACAATATTGCCAAAACATTACAGCGATTCCTTCCTCCTCTTCCGACAGCCTGAACATAGGGCTCTGATCATGTGGGACACCATAGTGGATAACTCTTTGAATATCTCAAATGTTGATCCCCATTCCCAATGCACTTGTTGCAATAACAATATGTAGGTTTCTATCGACTACAATATCAGACAGTACCTGCTTCTTTATTCTCTCTGGAGTTTTAGCATGGTACATAGCATAATATGTTGTACAACTATCAGGTAGTAGTATATCTGAGAAAGTGTCATATATCTTCCCACATTCTTTGAAGGAGGTACAAAATATTATTGTCTTAGGACATCCTTCCAAATTCTTTTTTAAATCTTCAATAATCCAGCCAAAGTTGCATCAAGTCCTTTCTTGTCTGCCTTTTCCACAACATACTTTATATTTTCTTTATCAGGAGAAAATTTTTTGATTTGTTAAACACATGATTGCTGCCATATGACCGTCCACGCTTCAACCCGAACAAAAGGTTAAATAATTATAACAACAAGAATCTTTTTTAGGGTACAGACGTGCTGTGTTTCAGTCAGGAATGTCGCACAAGAAAAACAACTATCAGATGATGAGCTTACATCATCAGATTTCTTGGCCAGTGGTTTGAATGGGATGGTTTGAATGGGAATAGCCAGATACTGGCTTTTGTTGCAGGTCAAGTAAAACATTATTTACCTCACTGGGAATCTATTACACAAGACCCCTGTGATCCTAAGTGCAATTCAGCACTATTAGATTGAGTTTGAGGAGAAGCCTCCATTACAAACACTGCTTCTAAAATTTTTTTTCCTTATCAGATAGGGGATGTTAAAGGAGCAGTGTCTCCTGGTGTGTATATTTTCTACGCATAAAAACAAAATTTCAGAAATTGTCAGACATTGTTTGGTGCCTAAAATACTCTCTCGTAACCTTCTACAGCAAGCTATCAGGGGTTTCAGAATGATTTGAAGTAGGCGGTTGTACCAAAAAAGTAGCCGGCTGTGACTGATAGTTAAAAAAACGCGCAGGGAGGGCGGGGGGGGGGGCGTGCCCTCGCATGGAAATTTAAAACATTTTCGCACGCAAATTAACAATCAGATAATATAGAATAAGTGAGAAGATAAAGTACAACTGTTCACTTGTTAGATTTAGATGTCATTTGTATTTATACTTGTAAGTGACAATGTACTTTAATGTGCTACTTGTAGTTTAATCACGAAGGTGTTTGCTGTCTGGAAAATGAAGACGCAATTTACAAACAAAAATATGCATATTCTACGCACAGACATATTACAGTAGCTGAGTAGCATGCAGTGCCGTAGGAAGGTCTTTTTTATTAGGGGCTGAGAACGAGGGCCGAAGGCCCAAGGAAATTTTTTAATTTAGAGTCTCTGAAATGCCATTTCCTGGACTTTGGGGAAGTTTAGAACAGAATTCTGATGGTCAGAAAACAGCGTTTTAGGGAGCATTCATTTTTTAGCTGGGGGGGGTGGGCCGGAGGAATTTGGGGGTGGGTCAGCCAATTTTGACATGCTTCAAAGGGGTGGGTCTTTTTATAGTTTTGGTATAAATGGAGGGGTCATAAAAATAATCAGTGAAAAAATCACCAATATAATTTTATAGAATTTGGAAATAGTTGGATCAAGAATGGTAAAAAGGTCCAGAATCTATCAACTATCTCGTCATCTTTAACAATAAAGCAAAATTCATTTGACGCTCTGTTCACACAGTCCATAGGAAAACATTTCCATGACGTTCGTCAATTGACCTCGTTTTTATCCGTTTTTGTGTGAAAACATGAATGAAAGAAAACGCAGGACCATAGCATGATTTCAATTTTAAGCTTTATTAATTTTAAAGATGCTGTAAAGTCCGTTCTGCGCATATATTCTGCGCATCAACACATTCCATCAGTGGGGGAGCAACCTTTGGAATGTTGTTAATATTTCACACCTTCCGAACTTTCTTGAATTGAATCTCTAGTCTGCATTCATTTACAAGCATAGCGAACCGGAAGAGTGTTAAAAATTCAGTATAATATATATCTAATCATATTTTACAACTGTAGCGCTGAGTTCAAAATGTAAACAAAGCGTTTGTTTACATTACGGATTTTACATCACCTTTAAGCGGCTGCATTATCCATGACACACTGCAAATAATGAAGATAGTACCCACAGTTTCCTGCAACTTATCCTAGTTATCCAATATATAGTTAATTAAATACGCCTTCGCCCATTTAGTACTACCAAATTGTCAATTTCGACATACTAAAACGCGGTTTTCTGACCATCAGAATTCTGTCAAATCTTCTCCAAAGTCCAGGAAATGGCATTTCAGAGACTCTAGATTTAAAAATTTCCTCGGGCCTTCGGCCCTCGCTTTCAGCCCCGCCCCCCAATAAAAAAGCCTGAGGGGTCAAAACATTTTTCAGTAAAAAAACTAAGGGGTCATAATTTTTTATCAACTCTTCTCTTGGGGGTTCCAAGTTTTAGCATGGAATTAGACATCAGTTCCTCCGGCCCACCCCCGCCCCCCCAGCTAAAAAATGAATGCTCCCTTAGTATGTCGAAATTTACAATTTGTTTACAATTTAGTAGTACTAAATGGGCGAAGGCATATTTAATTAACTATATATTGCATGGAGAAGTTGCAGGAAAGTATGGGTAATATGATTCTTTGCAGTTTGTCATGGATAATGTAGCCGCTTAAAATTAATCAATTGTCAGTATTTTAAAGGTATATTATTTAAATGATAAAGTATGCATGCATATATTTACCGATTTACGATTTCTTAAATGTTAATATCCATGTAAATGCCATGATTTCGTAAATCAGTTTATACTGACAATACAATTATATTATATTTACTGACAATACAATTATATTATATTTTCTCTGTTTAATAACAACTAAAATTTTGTTATACTATTGTTGCCGTAATTTTCCGAATGGCCAACCCGATTTTCCGAATATGTTAATTCTAAATTCCCCCTCGCTACGGCCCAGACTTTTTCACTTCATCACTTTATCATAATTAATTCGTTGTCAAAGAATTAGTGAAGGTTCTCTGGCTCACTGTCAAATTCGGATTCCCCAATGGCAATCACAGGAGATTTTTTGAGATTCCCATATTGGGAAAAAGTTGGAAAATTTCCCATTTTTGGGAATTTAACGGGGGAAAAAATCCTTTTTTGTGAAAATATTGGAATCTTTTTTCCCAATGTCGGATTTAAGATGGGAAAAAAATTGGTAGTATATCTTGATTGGGAATTTTATGTGAATTTTCCCAAACTGGGGAAAATAATGGAACATAAAAATACCCCCTAAATTCCCATGTTGGGAAAATTTCCCATAGTTGGGAATTTGTTGGGTAAAAAAAATTCTTTTTTGGGAAAATATTCGAATCTTTTTTCCCATTGTTGGATATAACACGAGGAAAAAATTGGTAGTATGTCTTGATTGGGAATTTTATGTGAATTTTCCCAAACTCGGGAAAATAATGGAACATAAAAATATTTTTTAAATTCCCATGCTGGGAAAAAGTTCCCTTTTTGGGTATTTAACGGGTAGAAAAATTCCTTGTTTGGGAAATTATTGGAATAATTTTTCCCAATCTTGGATTTGACATAGGAAATATATTGGCAGTATGTCTTGATTGGGAATTTTATGTGAATTTGTTCAAACTGGGGAAATATATAAGCTAGGGAACATATATATAAAAATATTTCTCGAATTCCTATGTTGGGAAAAAATTGAGGCAAAACATTTTGATTGGGAATTTATGTAAATTTTCAGAAACTAAGGAAAATAGTGCAACATTTTTTCCCAACTTTTCATATAATTGCTGATCATACATTATTCATTACATATATATGGTGCACATTTATTTATTATAATCAGGTCTCTCCAAAATGTCTTCATGTATATGCTGTCTTCATGTATAGTATTTATACAAGGTATTTATACATTCATGCGGGATCTATATAGCCTGCCTTACATCACAGGTTTTAAGCTTTATTATTAGCTATAGCTTTTTCCCCACAAAAAGAGAGACGGACCAGCCAATCGAGGAGCTTAAATTTGTGGCTGGCAACTTGCATCCCGCATACTTTTGAAAAAAAAAATGGCAAAATATGACAAATTTTCGCAAAAATCTCTCGTTTTAATTTAATAAGTTTAAACGCAACAAATACACTGTACGTATTTTAAAGTTATTTCTGATCATATTGAGTTACTTTTTTTATGAATTTCGATGTTTATTTACATTTTTCCGTAATTTAATTGTATACGGTCAGACAGTTGCCAAACCTTGTATAAATACGTACATAAGACATTTTTCAAGCCAGGAAAGGAACCCTCTTAAGTTAATTTGATGAGCGGAACCATCTCGTGTTTGAGCGATTAAATTGGTAGATTGAGTGGTAGATTAATTATAGGTTTATGTCTTGAAAGAAAATGAACATCTCTTAATTCCTAAAGTTTCAACTGAAAGCCTTAGAATGTTTATTCCAAAGCAATATTATTTCAGCAACCATGTTGGACAGTTAAATATATTATACCTTCTTTACCCATGTAGAAGAAGGGCTATTCCAATGCCCTTCGGCAATACCAATTATTGATTGCCAATGCACAGTGTTTCTTGCACCCCTACCACGAGTCTCTCTAACATAAATGTCATCTTGATGATTTCTGAAACTGGGAATATAGAAAAACAAATCCACCATCTTGGCTAAAAGATCAACACTTTGGATGTGACCATGCCAGATATCTTCATTAGATTCACCTTGAATGAGTACCATGTCACCAACTTTAGGATAGACAGGTATGACTAATTCATATGGAAAGCACCTCAAATGTCGCATATAGTCGACTACAGTCAACAGATTGTCATGACATGAGGGGTAAAGAATTACTTTCCTGCGAATATCCTTGACATTAAAAATCATGGAATTGTGAAGCGGCTGGCATTTAACCTTGACAAACCCACTCCAATAGTTTGTGTCAGCACTGCCATTGTCTTTTAGCTGAATTGGATAACAAATTCCTTGGGCTAAAAGACTGTATAAATTATCACCACCATTGACAGACAGAAATTCTTGAAGTTGAATTACAATTTCTTGTCCATCAACTGCAACAATTACTGTATCACCAGCAACAAAAACAGTTCCATTGAATCCAACATTTTTCTTAAAACATCTCTTGCAAACATATGCTGCTACTGGAACCTTCCAAGGAGGAAGAGACAGGAGTTCAGCTATCATGTCACAGTTTACCTGATCCAATGCCTTGATATTTTTCATGGAACCTATGAGGAAGGCTTCTCTGGGAGGAGGTTCTATTTGAGAAAGTATCTGACAGGTTTCTTTGGAGTTTGCAATCCCCTAATCAAATTAATCGAAAGCAAAATTCAGTTTAATTAGCAGAATTTATGATAATCCTAAGTATTATTAAAACAGTGAACAAGACAATGGCTTATATCGAGCGCAGATCAGTGACGTCAATCACAACTTACAAAGCTCGATCATCATAATTAATCGGAACGAACTTCGAAACGAGCTTTGGAACTTTTCAATAAACATTCCAAAGTTTCAAACAACAACAATTTGAAGTCAATGAACTAAATTGCGAATTTTGTTGCGAAGTTCACACTCAACTTCCGAACTTGGAAACATAATTGGCAAGTTGGAAACGATCTTCCGAACTGCTCGTTGAAAAGTAGTCTGAAATCGACAACATGCAATAAGCCTTGAATCATATGAACTCCATGACAATGATCTATGAACAATTCATACTAACTAAATTCTACTATAATCTATGATAATATCATACCAGAAAAATGTTGTTCACTCCAGTCAGTCCTGTCAGGGGAAGGCCATTCCAAGTTTCATTGGGAGGAACGCCATTCCCCAGTGACAATAATGGGAGGAAACCATTTCCCTCATCTCCCTTAGAAAACATTATTGGTGCAAAATCAACTTACTACTGAATTAAAAATTTTGTACTTACCAGGGAAATATCATGCTTTCCATTAGGTAAAGTTTGGTCACACTCCTCAACTGACTTTAAGTATTCTCTTATTGCCTCTACATGGGCAAATGTGACTTCAATACACTTTCCATTGTTTGATTTCTTTACATACTCTTTTACGGCCCTTTCAAAGACAGCACACCAGACATTATCTGGAGCCGAGAAATTTGTAATGTCTTCATGAATATGTAGTAAGTTGTGCAATGAGATTGTACACATTTCTAAGCCTTGCACTTCTTCCACTTGTATGTTTAATCGCCAGGCCAGTTTTCGATGCAACTCAATCATTGTAGGTGTCCATCCATTCCTTCCATCATGAAAGTGTAACTCTGTTAATCTTGCCACAAGACACACAATTTCAAATTCCTTTGGACTGCTAATATGACTTTCCAAAATGCATTCTGCCATAGGGAAACCAAATTTTTGAAAACTTTCAGCCTTCCAGTAGCCAATACCTTTACAATCCTTTCCAATTTGTCTTGGTAGTCTCCCATCCTTAAATTCATGTGTCCAAGGAAAGTTTTGAATTTGTTCATCCAAATTGATTTTGTTTATCATTCCTAGATCTAAAGTTCTGCCAAGTTGATTCTTGACAACGTTAAGAGGAACAGTATGGAAGACATCATAGACAAGATGATACAAAATGTTAAATCCATAAAGTGGGTAAAGATACTTGTGAAAAATTGATATGCCAGTGAAACCTTTCTCTGAAGACATTCTTTTTCTGACAGATGACCTTGTTTCATTCTCAATGTCAAAAAGAGTTTCAAGTTCTAATTCAATCTCCCTCTGACCCCAGGGATCCCTACAATGGAGACGGTTTTCTCCATAATAATAATGTGTATTTGAACTATTCTCCAAGTGCTGGCCCACCAACTTACAACGGCGACACGCACACTTGCCTTGGTTCAAAAACTTCCCCACTTCGCATTGACCTGGATGGTCAGCAGTCCAGCACACTAATAACAGTCTGACTGTTTCTTCTGGAGAAGGTTTGTACTGTTCAATTTCAACTTCTGCTGGGAAGCATACTTGGAAACCTTCAATAAATCCATCACAAAGATCGTTCATCAAAGGATCTAAGAAAGGATCCAGTCCACAAGGTAGATTGTTTGGAATGTCAGAGCATGGCACAAACCCTACAACATACACTTCATTGACATGGTTTCTTTCACTCTTTCGCATATTGGCAACAGTAACCTCTAAAGAACCAGATCCTCTATAACTTGTGCCAAATGGCTGCCAGCCATCAAAATGTCCAATCAGTCCTAAGTTCAAGGGAGAACCATTTGCCCATTTAATAGAATGTTCAAAATTTTTAAAACAAATAGGGCATTCAACAACCTTGATGTCATTTTCCAAATCATGAGCTGGTGAGTTCATCAAGTGCTCTGCTGATATAGGAATGTCACAGTGTATGCAGCGTGTGGGTAGAGCCCAAACACAGTTTGGGTTCCAAAACCACTGAAGTTCGGCCCATCTCTTACCGTCCCACATTTCTTTCTTTATTTCCCACCCTTCACTATTCCCCATCCAATGTTCTCTTTCAAGCCAATGATGAAGCATTTTTTTACACATAACTTTATTTCTAAACCAATTCTTTACTTTACTTCCAAGACCTAGGTACAAATACTTCAAGTAGCCTGCACAGCCGCAATGAGAACAATTGTCATGTTTGTTCTCCATGACACTGTACTTTCCATTGTAAACAAATTTCTTTGTAGATTTGCCATCTCTGGTTAGCTCTTTTTCATCACGACAGAAACAAATATAAAACTCTTTAGCATCTTCAAATCCCTCTTCCTTTAATAGCAATTGTACATCATTCCAACTCTTTGGCCACAAAGTAGTTAAAATTTCCACATCAACATCTTCACGTAGAGATGTGAAAAGCTGCTTTTTCCCATATTCCAAAACATCCTCAAACGTTTTTACAGATACTCCACTATGGTGCTTTATTCTGAGGGCATCTAGAACCGCCTTAACAACCATCCTTTTTAAGGGATTCTGATCAATGTTTGGATTGTCACATCCACCACTTGTTGACAAGTCTGGCATGTCATGATCAATCGATTTGCTTGATGATTGTTGAGCATTTCTCCCATCATTATTTTCCTTTGTTAACAATTGGTCACTGTTATCACCATGACCATCTCCCACAGAATTGTCATCACCAGAAATGTCATCAGCACCCCCATCAAAATCATATTCGCCCATGTCCATGTCCATGTCATCCAAGTTGCTGTAAACATGAATGTTAGTTGACGTTGAGGCTGCCAAATGACACGTTTCTTTCCAGTGTCGAAGTTCAGTATTTCTGTCAGTTGCCCTTCCATTGCATCTCGCGCAAGGACAATGGACATGTCTGTACGACTTTTGCTCGCATTGACAAGCTGAAATTTCACTTCTTGACCAACAAACCTTTTTTTCTCCAAAAGCGTTGCTTATAGCTTTCCTATCAACTCTTGGCCATTAGGAAATTGTGTTATAGTTCGATTAATTTTATGTTATTACTGGCCGAATTTTGGTGGTTTTGTCATGATAGTAGTGATAGTATTTCTCCAAGGTAGTGTTTCCATAACTTAATGTCTAAATTTCCATTAAAATGATATTGAGATGCTTTTATCCATTTTTGGGTTATGCCGTTATGGGGCAGATATATGGATACTTTTTAAAATAAACTTTTCATTTGCAGTCAAACTTTAGTTTTTTTTAATTTTACAAAATCGGCTATATATAGTGTAACTATAGATAGACTTGGTCATTGTTCATTGAAAATTTTGTTTAAAAAGTGGAAACGCAGAGATTGTTTTACCGCCATAAGTAAACCAATCAACCAATCAAGATACAGGTTCGTTTCACTTGCCGATTGAACGTCCTCCGCCATTTTACATGTATACAATACAGTGAGTTTTTTTTCTAAAATTTTGAAATAAATCCACTTGCAGTTGGGGTACTTGTGTATTAAATCAGGTCGGAGTTTTTGCACTATATAGTGATGGAAAATTCGGAATCACCAACGACACCAAGCAATCACGACATAGAATTAGAAAAGTCTGAAAATTTGGAGATGTCAAATACATCAGATGAAAATATGTTGGCACAGATAAAGGAACTATTTGGTGATGAAATTGCCAGCGCTTTTGAAAGTAAGTAGTAATGATAAGCTATCAGAATTCTGTACCCTGTGTTCTTGTAATATAACTGCAATAATATACATTTGCATGTACCATTATATTATTTATATATAAAAGTATAACAGTACGTGCACATGTTTAATACTATACTGCTATATATTTCTTATTTTATACAATTTGTCAATGGACCATTTGTATTATAGACTAAATTTTGATCTAGACAAAACTTTCATCACAGCTTGAAAGAGCATCACAAAATTAGTAATATTCCAAAGTTTCATTGCGAAATGTTGTGAAATGCGGATAATATAGCCTTGCGAAGTTTGCCGTTTTTCAGTCATTTTGTATTTAACGCACGGGAAATTGACAGCCCAATCGGGTGTCCGGGCATCAATTTCCCGTTTGTAATACAAAATGAATGAAAACTGCAAATTTCGCAAGGCTATATTATCCGCATTTTACAACATTTCGCAACGAAACTTTGGAATATTACTAATTTTGTGATGCTCTTTCAAGCTGTGATGAAATGTTTGTCAAGATCAAAATTTAGTCTACAATGCAAATGGTCCATTGCAAGTACTAAATGTCACGAATATGTTATAATATCAGAATATATATTTACCAATAGTGCAATATATACAAACGTACAATGTACTTAGACAAAACTAGAACAGTTCGTGCCTGGTATGAATATTCGTGTCCTCGTGTGAAGTAGTCAGGTGATAGATGATATAAATTAACATAATTCTTATCCTTCTAACACTATACTTGTCATTGTAGGGGAAGAGATTGTTACTGAAGAGGCTATAAGAGATTGCTTATCCAGAGATTCAGATGCTCCCATTTTTGGAAGACTTGGCCTGTCCTATGGTAAAGCTGTTCGCTTCAAGGCAACATTTGAAAAGATTTTCCCACAGGAAAATGTAGTCAGGGGGAAGAAAAGATCTAGATCATCTACACCCTCGCCTACTAATGTGAAGCCATCCATGGGTGACATGGCTTTTTTCTCACCAGAACAGAAGGCCTTGTATCTTGCTAAGTAAGTGAATGGGGCAAGCATTGTTTGTTATATAATATTTTGCTGAGAACAAGTTCACACTCTAGATCTACATTGGTCTCTTACCTCAAAAGGCCATCAGACTGTAGTGGCCTACTGGCCTTTTGAGGTAAGCAAAAATCTACATTTGCTCTGTCCATACTGATGCAGATATTGCACAGCACACTCCCTATTAGGGTTTATTGTGAATAGATAGATAGACAGAACCGGAAACAGACCAAGGTAGACTGTGAGCTTACAATGGCGCTTTAAGCAGCCGCTATTAGTCCATACCTCATTAATGATCTGCCCCCTGACCTATGTGTTTAACCCACCTTGTCAACTTTCCCTGTGGGAGGAAACCGGAGTACCCGGACAAAACCCTGGATCTGGAGTACCCAGAGAAAACCCTGGAGAACCTGTGTGAAAACTTGTTATACGGTTTCCATACAATCTTAAAAATTTTATTAACAGTATTAACCATGATTGAAGGTTTAATTTTCTTTGTTATATATATAGACGTAAGAAAGTTGGAGTGTTAGCTTCAGAACATTGGAAAGATAACCCTGCCCCAAAATTTAATACACCTCAAATGAAATCAGCATTGGCAAAATTTGCAGAACAAATTGCACCACAATGTGCAATGCCAGAAATAGGTTTTACTGTTGATGGGATTGTCAAACATGTGCAGTGTTTCTTCAATGAACAACGAAGATACAGAAATAGAAAACCAGTTGATTTAAAGGTACATATACAGTATGCTGTATTACATTTTTTATTACTTGTTTTTAACCCATTAGCTGGCATTGCACGCCCCCAACGAGCCCTACATTAGTATTTACCTGTCTAACGCCAGGTGATTTACTTGTCATGCAGTGGTAGATTACTACCAGTTAATGGGTTAAAAAATATATCTGCCAATGTCTCTTGTTAACCCATTAGTGGGCAATGCGCCCAAATGTGCCCACTTCAGACAGTATTTACTCTATCTAACACCCGACAATTTTACTCGTCAGTGGTAGAGTACTGCCACTAATTGTGTTCACCATCCTATCTGTCAGTGACTCTTATTAATTAACAAATACATCTGCCAAATGCCTCCTATTAACCCATTAGCTGGCAGTGTGCCCAAATGTACCCTACATTAGTATTTACTCTGTCTAACGCCAGACGAACGATTTTAACTCATCAGTAGTAGGGTGCTGTTAACAAACCTATCTGCCAATGGCTCTTATTAGCAAATATATCTGCCAATGTCTCTTATAGTTAACAACTATTTTACTTGTCAGTGATAGAGAACTGCCAGTAAATGGGTTAAATTAACAAACCTAGCTATCTGCCAATGTCTCTTATTAACCTGTTAGCTGGTAATGCAGCCAAATGCACACTACTTTAGTATTTACAGAACTCTGTCTAAGGCCAAAAAAAAATACCTGTGGTTCCGATTCCCGACCGACCCTATTTTTTTCTGCCGCCCCTATTATTTTTTCAACATGATTGACCGTGCGACCCTATTTTTTCCAGGTGGTTGTGGGCTGCTCATACAGCGTGCCAAAATGGCGTCTGTTAATTGTCACACTAATTATTGCAAAAACCATTAACCATGAAAAAATATTCGAAAAAAAAATTTATTTCCGACCTACCGATCTTAATTTTTTCACGATATGAAACCGAAACCACAGGTATTTTTTTATGCCTAACGCCATACGTATTTATTCTGTCTAACGCCAGACGATTTCATTCGTCAGTGGTAGCTAGAGTACTACCAGTAAATGAGTTAAATTAAATGATGAAATGTAACATAATTAAATATATTTATAGGTTTCCAATTCAACAAAAGAAGATCCAAAGTTCCCTGAACTGTTAACTATTTCTCCAAATGAGAAAGTCCCAGGTTCTTCAAAAAAGCTGAAGGTACGTGTACAGATTGGAAATTGCATGTGAACTTTGCTTTTTCCTTAACTGATGCGCGCATGTGCACAGCAAATTTAGCTAACTAGTACGTACTGAGAATATCAGTCGTACTGCATGTCCAGAGATGTCAAAAGGAAAAGTATTTTGATCTTCATTAGCATCCAGTTCATTTATAATATTTCAATGTATAAGCATTACTCATTCACTGTTATAAAGGTTTTAGTACCTATAGTTTTATACTTGGTCTCTGTTACTGGAACATTTTCTCGCATTAATATTTTTTCCTTTTTCCTGCATGTAGCGAGTTAAAAGAATTAGTGATGATGGATCAGGAAGTGATACTGGGAACGATCATGGTGCCCAATCTGCAAGTACTCTTTCACCAAATAGTGATTTGGATTCATCGCCTGAAGATTTGGGCATACATGATATCAAAAGTAGTGTCTCTCTAGATCTGCCTAAGGATGATTCGGAGAGTAAATCCCCCAAAGCATACCCATTTAAAAGTTGTCAGATGATTTGCAAAGCAGTGTTTGGTGAACTGCCAAATAGGGAAGACATTATAAGAATCTTAAAGAAGAAATTCGATGTAAAGCAAAGTCAAATAACAGCGCTAACAATGAGCCAACTTCTTGAAGTAACATCAAAAAAGTTGATCAACCAAAAATACTGTTCTGTCAAAGAAGGCACAAACATGAGCAATATCAGAATGGACAGTATTATTGTGCACAAAGAGATTGCACTTTAGATGCATGATCACGCAACTGCACTGCATCGATCAGTGATGTTACATCGACTTGTTTTGGTTTAGCTAGCTTGTGCAGAGATATATTGTACAGCATTTATTTACTACAGTGAACTGGACATGCAAACATGAAACGTTTATATTAGATATATATTATAGCTTAAGATTATGCAGTAGTTATATTAGTTCTGTTAAAAATACAGGTTTTGGTTTTGATTGAAAACTAGCTGGCTCATATAATTAATTTGTATGCCACATCCCAAATCTCGGAATACTCATGGTCAACATTTACCCAGTTTTGGGAACAAACTGGGACAATTATAATCCAACAGGGGAAAAACCTGGGAAAACAATGGGACAATATTAACCCAACAATGGTAATACCTTGGGATGATATTTTCCCCAGGTTGGGAATATTCTGGTACAGCAGCATCCCAACAATGGGAATAAACTGGGTCAATATTAACCCATACAGGGGATTTACTTGGGACAATACTAACCCGTTAATGGGAATAAACTGGGTCAATATTAACCCATACAGGGGTTTAATTGGGACCATAATAACCCGTTAATGGGAATAAACTGGGTCAATATTAACCCAACACTGGGAATAAAAATGGGTCAATTATATCCCAATGTTGGGAGTTAATTGTGTTTTTTTAAACCCAAAACTGGTTTTGGTAGCATTTTCCCAGTTTTGGGAAATTCCAATTAAAACCCAAATAATTCCCAGTAATAACCCGATTTTTTCCCTAAATGGGAATCACAAAATATTTCCTGTGATGGTCTATCTTCCATTGAATTCCTAATTAAAGATGTCATTTCACAAATAATTCCATTTAGTGATCGTAAAACAACTGTATGATATTATGCCGTAACCGTCACAAACTAACTCACTAGATAGTTGACTAGTAAATATAGTGGTCTAAATAATAATACTATTAAATAATCTAATATCTAATCTGAATAATAACAAACTTAAGAGTAGATATCTCTAAAAATCAAACAAGTGGTGGCAAACTTTGAAAAATCGATATCCCTCATACTTTCAAGTCCGGAAGGGTAATGTTTCCTAAGAACCACAGTATAGTTGGTTTGGTTAAATATCAAAGTATTTTGGAGAAATATGCAAATTATCGAACACCACCGAAAATGCTTCTTCGACAGATGATTTTTGGCTTCAATTTGGTGGGCTTGTATGGACAATTAGAGCACTCCACATCAAATATAACTCCAAATTCTTGTTAAATAATCATTTGACTATCATTTTCCCAAGTATGGGGTCAATAATGCAATTCTATACTTTCCAAACAATTTTATTCTCGATGCCCATATTTTGTATCGATAAAAATGTGTCTTATAAAAAGTCTTGCAGCGAATCTTTAAATCATTCGAAACTCCGGAGAATGAATGTTGCAATAAAGGTCTTTGAACGGATGCAAAGGAATCTTTGGGCAAATATCTGTGTGACGTTTCAGGCTATCAAACTGTGATAAAATTGTACTCCTGTCAGTCCTATGACCTTTGAGGTCAAAGCACGTAATACATGTTTATTTTGAATTGCAAATCAATGAAACAGGTTCAAACGAAAAATAAAATGTAAACGAATGTAAGTTTTATGCAATCCATACCTGTTTACTTGTTAAAGTTGCATTTTATGGATCTTCTGGGCTTTATATACTGTTGCAAGTTTTCAAAACAATCAAGAACATAAATGATCACCGCAAGTGCCGAGCCCGCGATCCTCCACAGAGGTATGTACTTTATCTTGTCTTCACGAAATATATGCCGACATTTTCCCTAATCCCAGCACGTCACCCCAACCGCCAGCCCAACCTAAATTTGTTACATTCTTAATATCGTCATATTTTGAATGAAAAGAGACTTTATATGAATTTCTAATTTAAAATTTTTGTGTGATTTGTTTAATACTTTCTCTTTCTGGTCAACAATTATAAGCCGTTATTGTACATTCATGTATTTACTGTAATAGTGTACATAACACCTGTGATCCGGCTGTTTTACTTTATTGTGCATGTCTTTTTAATTCACTTTAATGGTGCGACCATTTTCATTAACTTAAGATGTCATGATAAAGAAGTGGTAAACACTCTTAAAAAATTCAAAATAGTAATAATTTAACATGTGCACGACTCTACCAATTCATCCAGCAAGTCTATGTATGGCTGCTTCCTTTTCTGCTTTATACTTGAAGTGTCAAGTTCGTAGTGCTTGCAGATTTCCTGTAACATTGCCATAGAAAACTTTGAAAGCTTGGACGCGGTGGCCATTTCGCATATGTTATAGGATTCGTATGTGATTGGGTGTTGGATAGAAATATCATTCAATATTTCTTCACGCATTTGCTGAAGCTCTTTCTCTGCCATGGCGGAGACCAAGTCATCAAGGTCATCGTCATCATCGAGGTCAAGATTCGAAGCTGATGTAACTTGAATCGATTTCTTGGCGGCTGTACGGGAAAAGAAGCTGGTAATCTGCTGTGATGTCAGGTATTCATTAGACAGGAAAAGAAGAGAACCATCTGCATTGCGCGCTTTTCTCATCGATTTTGAGACATCACTAGCATCTGCTTTTTGCCCTGTCTGCTCGCCAAGAAGAAATATGTCGATGAGGTACTTTTTTGCTTCTCATTGAAACGGTGTCGACTTGTGGAAACACGTTTTAGCGCCCATCCCATCTTTATCGAAGGCACCTTTGATTCTTCAGCAATCTGCTCAACTTGCCCTACTATGGATGCAGCCCCACTTCCTAGATTTTCAGCATAGCGTAGCATTGCTTTATCAAGGAATGACTCCCTCTCAAGGGCGTACTTGTGCCTGCCTCCATCCAGATGTTTCCGGAGGGATGAAAACCGTTGGAAGGTTTTCACACATCCATCTTCTGGACAGGTGAAAAGCATATCCTCGTCTGTGTCGCTGCTGTTGTCGTCGGCGGATGTCTTCATGTCTTTGTCTTTGGCGACATGACATTTCCTTGGCATGACTTCACAGAATACAAGATTAGTGCTGGGGACATCGGTAATCTTGGTAAGCGATGGAAGTTCAGTCTTCTTCGTTTGAGTGAAATTGCTATAGGGAACGCTTTTACCATGTCCAACATCATAAGCTCTCCAAACCTTCATCTCCTCGGTCTTGAATTGGATGTCATTGATAAGGCTAACACCTTCCCATTTTGGAAAAGGACTAGGGTTAGGGATGGTTAGAGGACCACACAGTATAGTCGCAACACCACGTACACCGCGATTGGACTCAATAGCTGATTTCATATGAGTCTTGTGCAGACGAGATGTCATGGCCAGAGTTGAGGCATGAACGCATATGATTCTTTATAGAAGCAGCTTTGCGATCACATGGTCCCTTCCCGCCTTGAGGATCAGAAAAATCCATTTGCACGCACACATTGTGCTTTACGGCGAGTTGATGTATCCCAAGTATGGTAGCAGCGCTGTGGTAGCAACCAGCGTTGTCCTGTCTGAAGCTCACAGATTTCAACCCAAGTATTGCAGTCTTTAGCTTTTTGATTACATCATCGATGACGGCCAACACATACAGGCTGTCTTGGTTACTTTTCTGAAACATGTGGACAAGAGTCAGCGTCTGCAAGGTTTTTCCAGGAGGCTTTTTCATTGCCACACTAATGTGCCAGGAGAGGCCTCTCTTACCAAACCAGTCCGCCTGGCTCTCTCTGTACTTTCTTGGGATGAACTTCATTGCCCAATCTAGCACCACCAATACAGAGCTGTCATCTACTGCTTTCAGGATGTCAAGGTGGGCCTCATCTTGATTGATGAAGTGTAATATGTGTGCTTTCCAGGCTTCTATGTTCTTCTTTGACTGCGCCACCACAAACTTCATTTCTTCTTTGTCTTTGTGAGGAATCCTAGCCTTTTCCACCTGTAACTCTAATTCTTGGACAACAGCAGGAAACAGGTTGCACCTATCACAAACTAGATCATGCTGATGATTACATGTGGTGGTAAAATTGGAATCGTTAGCAAGACTGAGGGCATAAGGTCTACAATGATCAGGGACCCTTGAAGTTGATGACACATGAACCTGAAAAAAACACAAGCATCACATAATTAATGTATCAGCTATAACAATTCATCGTACATAAACTACGGCATTTTGATGAAAGCGCTAGGACGTGTGGTGCCCATTGTTAAGGACATCTAAGTTCATTTTTCATTAACTTGATTGGGAGAAAGAAAAGAAAAGGAACGAAACAAAACATGTAATCATTTTCTCAAGGCATTTCGTCTAATAAAAAATTCTTTAAAAGGTCACTGACCTTGTAATCACTTTTAAAGTAACGCTTTGCCAGTTTCAGCTTTCTAATCTGCTCCTTGGACCATGTCAGACCAAGTTCATAGACGTCACCTAGCTTATCTACGACTGTAACCATGTCATCAAATGCTTTGCCACCTCTGCTGAGAAGTAGTCGAGGCCTTGAAGCGAGGTCGGGTAGATGCAGAACAAATGTCTAGTATCCTGCAAAAGCTACTACGGCTCAAAGGGGAACTAAATCCGGTCTCCGCACAGTAACTCTGATACTGCTGAATTATCTGTTCTGGTATGGAGTTTCTTATGACGTTTGGGATCTTTATTTCAGTGGTAGAGAGCTTTAAGGTTTTCTCCCCAAAGGGCAAATCTTGTATTACCCTTGCACTGGTAATGAAAGCCAAAAAGTGGTCGAGCTTCTCTGGAGGTACTTTAATTCTGACGTGTTTCTGGTGAGAAATGTCAGGGCCTCTGCCATGTAGCAACAGGTGGTGTCTTGCAATGCTATATCGATAGCGAGTTATATCTGGAATCCATTGTTGAACAGTTTTGAAGCTGACCTTATCGGCAAAGATGGAGAGAATTTGTCTGCGACTGCTCCAATGGCTGGCATTCTCGTAGCATGCTGTTAAAGCTTCAACGCTGTTAAAGCTTCAACGCTGTTAAAGCTTGTCAAAAGAGTTTGGCATTTTAAAAATTGCCGCTCGACACAATATCAGGTCTATCTCGTTTTGTGGACCAGAAAACGAGAAGGATGCTAGATGGTTCGCAATATCTTTTGTACATGATGTCAGAGGAACAACTTGCACTTCGTGTTTTCTATCTCGACTGTCAGAACCACAGATTCCTCCTACTAATGACTTTGTACCGGGATGCGGTATAAACCAATGAAAACGTTAAGTACAATTTTAGAAACGGGTTTCAACACGACACGTTCAATATCGTAAACATTAAATTTATTTCAACATTAAGCTTCTTATGACATAAACCATACAACTTTAAGTTAGTTCGTAACTTTAACAAACCAATAAAGTCCAACGAAGCCGCCTGATGTTTCAATAAACCGTTAAATAAGTCGGTAAAACACTGTTTTGTATCTATCTTCGATAATGGCGGCCATCTTGCAAGTCCCTTTCACATTGTCATGTGACCGATTTTGGCGCGATCGCTCGAAACGCGTGTGTGGTCCTCGCGATTGTACTGTACTATCCTAATACACCGGGAGGGTGAGGGTCGACGCGATCGCATCGACAAATAACAAAATGTAAACTGCTGTATATACTGTTAAAAGTTCGTGTCTATGTCTTGACTATGACTCCATACTGAAAGTTCCTTAACTAATCTTCCTCTTGTTTTTCTTGATCGTATTCCACCGGCACCAAAAGAGCTAAACGATGAACACTTCGAGACACAACAACTTCTTCTCTCCCTGTATACTCATGATCTCTTTCACCAACTTTGTAGTTCTTGTATTTGACCAACGCTCGGCGCACTTTTCCGTCGTTGCCAGCAACTACTTCGTTGATCATTCCTAAACGGTAATCTCCTTTTATCGGACTCTTGTCAGCTATGAGGACGATATCTCCTGGTCGGAGGTTTCGAGTGGGCTCGGTCCACTTGTATCTGGTCACTAACGCTGGCGCACACAACTCGATCCATTTGGCCCAGAATTCGCTTACGACTGCTTGTACGAAATGATAACGTTTGGCGATATGCTGTCGGGTAGGTTGCCAATTTCCAGGATTCTTCGCACAGGTGCGGCCCAACAGGAGGGTATTCGGAGTGAGAATATTCTGGTTTGAGTCTGTTCCAGGTAGCGTACCAATTGGTCGTTCGTTGAGCAAGTTGGCCGCTTCGTAACAAATCGTGAGGAATTCCGATACGGCGAGACGCTTGTTATGCACGGCAAAATGAATAGCTCTTTTGGCTGCTTTGACTAATGCCTCAACTTTTCCTTGATTCCACAGACTGTCCGCAGGACCGAACAACCATGTCAGTCCATTTTGAACCCCATCTTTATGCAGTGTCTCACGATCAATACCATTCCAAGCCTCTTTTAATTCTCGTTCGGCACCCACAAGTTGAGAGCCTGGGTCGCTGTAAATGGTCGCTGGCCAGCCACGGATACAAGCAAATCTACTCAACGCCATCAGAAAAGATTGTGTATCGTAGCCATATACCGCTTCGATGTGTACAGCTCCAACCACCAGATCGGTGAAAATTACACCATACGCCTTTCCACTTACGCGCTTCTGGACTTTACATTGCATTGCTTCAGGCGTCCCCCAACTAGGCACAGTCCGTTTTTACTTAAGACAGGATAGAGTGTGGCATAACGTCCTCCTTTCCCCTTCTGATCGGTTTTGACTAATTCTTCTTTTATTGTCTTCTGGGCGTCTTTTACTATGAGGTTCTCCGCGTCTCGCAACAGTTGCGCTGACACTGACATTCTCTTGCCACCGCTGAATGATTTATTCCGCAGGATGGCCAAGATTCTTGCAATGACCCATATAACATGATTGATGTCACTGAATCTTTCGTAGTTGAGTAGAGGAGGATTGGCGGTTGCAGTTGACACACTATGGATCTTTTTCTCTCCAGGGAGGCACTCTTCTTTCTGAGAACCAAACTTCAGACCCCATTCTTCTATGGGTTGAAAAAGAATCAAAGGACCGTTCCACCATTGCGATTCTTCATTAAGCTCTTGCGGGGATCTTCCTCTTGTCAACCAATCGGCTGTGTTATTCTTGCCAGATATCCACGCCTAGCAGCTCATGTCGCCATCAGTAGCAGCTTGTATTTCTCCTAATCTGACACCTTCATACACTTTAAATCGCATGCTTGTCTTGTTTATCATGTTGAGGACGGTCTCGGAGTCAACAATCTGTAATACTCGCTCGAACTGGAACCGCATTTCTCGTTCAATAACTTTTCTTCCTCTCTTTGATAACACCGCAGCGTTCAATTCCATTTGAGGTGTTGAAAGCTTGTTAATGGGACCGACACGACACTTTGCCATGATCAATCGGCACCAGGCGTTGCCACCGGATGTAAGCTACGAACCCATAGGCAATGTCGCTACCATCACTAAATATGATTAACCAAGGGTTGCCCACCGCCTCGGATGGTCGAAGACATCGTTGCAAACTCAACTTTTCCAACTCGAATAGGGAAATGAAAAACTTCAGCCACTTGGCACGAAGATCAACAGGAAGTTGGTCGTCCCATCCAAAATTACGGGACCAAGTTTCTCTTAGATAAATCTTTCCGATCAGGGTGAACAGACAAACCAAACCGAGGGGGTCGTAAATTTTCATCACTTGTTGAAAGACGATTCGTTTGGTTAGGATATCAGGTAAAGCTTCAGGCAGATCGTTGAGCATCAGGTTAGGTCCGGTGCGTACTCCCTGTCTCTTTTGACTGAAATTGAGAGTGACTTCATAAACGACAACATCTTCCTTTGGCTTCCATCCTACACCAAGGACATGAAGGTGTGCATCAGTTCCTTTTAGCAATGGACGCCCAAGGTCGTTTGACTTGTACTCCGGAACGACGGTCTGTTGCAATTCTTCACCAGAACGAGTTTTCACTTCGCCGCTAAACTGCCAACACTTGACTGTGAAACCTCCTTTGGCGAGCATGTTCTCTGCGTCATGAGCGAGTTTCATAGCCTCGGGCTTATTGGGTCGGGAATCAATGAGGTCATCAACGTAACTGGACTTCTTTAGCATCTCAGCAGCTTCTGGGCTTTCGTCCTTAAATAAGTTTGCAGTCTTATAAACAGCTTCCGTGCTAATAGCTGGTGCTGGCGAGTCGCCCATGTTGACACGTTCCATCACATAAATATCTGGCTGACGTTCAGCGTCCATATCTCTCCATAGAAACCGATGACAATGTTGCTCTAACGACTTTAGGTGGACAGAATTGAACATCTTCTTCAAGTCTCCAACGAAGGCCACATACTCCTCTCTCCATCGTAGTAGAATTCCAATCAAGTTGTTGATGTAAGCGTCTGGACCTTTGGCCAGGCAGGAATTCAGGGATACTCCGCGGTGACTTTGGCTCGAGTTGAAGACAATTCGTACTGGTGTCGAATTCAAACGAGGGTTGACCACAGCCAGGTGTGCGATGTAGAATACCGGTCCTCTCCATTCTTTCAGCTCTTGTGGCGTTAACTTGCGGGCGACTTGACGATCCTCCATATCTTTCATTTGGTCTTTATACGTCTCAGCCCATTTACTGTCTCGAGATAAAGTTTGTTCGGTACTTCGCAGTGTAGCCAAGTCACAGTACTTTGCACTGTAGTTGTCAGGAAGGCTATTTGGGTCAACTAACCAGGGGTAACCCGTTCTCCAACAATGATTCTGCTCATCGTATTCCAAGTTGTCTTGAATCATTTTCAGCTCTTGTTCCTCCTTGAAGGAATACGTATGTCCAACACTTGGACATTTGTTGCAATGGCAACCACCGCAGCGAGGAGACGTTTCCGTACCCAATTCTTCGCTTCGGATAAAATTCTCTATCTGATTGTCCGCTCCTCGGTCACCCTTGGACTTGGTGGCATTGGACATACAATGGTAAACTTCGGTGTTCTCGTTCAAGCTTTCGGGCGATAATCCTTGACGAGTGAATTCAGGATGAGTTCCAAGGCTGGCAAAATACGTTTCAGCCTTGTGTCGAACATCGTGGATTGTTCTTGCCAGGTTCGCGTCGTGGTACGTTTCTTCTCTAAGATCTGGGTGTGTTCCTTGTAGGCAAATTCCCAATTCGCCGCTCTTTATGCTAAGGTTCGCGCCACACCGCGCTTCCTCATTCTTTGGGTGAAGTCCGAAGTAGTCACACCCGAGTAACACATCAATATGTTTAGACTTCCTTTGAAGGGACTCTGGGTCGTGATCGGGAAACAATTGGACCAATACATCTGGGTTAAGCTTGCTCACTGGGCCCGTTATTCTTTCCATGCCAAATGCGTTAACGGTAACCTTTCTACCGGTACGAGTTCTCACTGTAAATTGGTACTCGCGCGTGCTATAGGTTTTTTCAACGTTGCCCATAGTAGTTACGTCGAGGGTTAACTTTCGTACAACTTTGGCCCCGATCTTATCTGCTGCACGATGAGTAATGTAGCTTGAATTTGACCCTCCATCGCAGAAGACACTCACAGACTTACCGCTTTCGACTACGGTGGTTTGGTAAATAGGATAAAGGGCTAGGGTGTCGCTTTGAACCACATTGCTTTCTTTCCCTTCACGGTTGTCGTCCCGTACTTCCGGTTGTTCTGGTGGGATATTTGGGGGACTCTTTGTCTTGCACAGTAGTTGGTGATGTGACTTGCTTCCACAGGATGAACAGGGATCAGTCTTGGGGCAGTCTTGTCTCTTGTGGTTGCCAAAGCACTTGAAGCAGGCATTTACTTGTTTCAAGAGTTCATATCTTCCTTGTTTACCGGACACTTGAATTCATTGCACTGAATTCATTGCACTCACAGGTTTTGTGGTTAGTGTTGTCCTTTCTGTGCGCAGGAAAAGCACACTTGTAGAACTTCCCTCATCGGCTGGCAGCATTGATCTGATATTGCTGTCCTTTTACTCTCGATCTCTCAAACCTCGGTAATCTTTTCTTTGCAGGTTGATTCTCAGCTAACCTGGCTACAGCTTCACGTTCACGTTCCATGAATTTCATAAAATGTGGGAAAGGGTTTACCTTCTCAGCAGATGACATATCTTGGTACTTGCGAATCCACTCAACTCTGACATGGCTTGGTAAAAATTCGGTAATATGGTCAACATCTCTCATTGTTAGAATGCTTAGATGGTTAAGTTCCTGAAGCTGACAGTAAGCAGCTTCTACTTCATCCACTAGTTCTATTAAGGCTCTGTAATCTTCACTCTCCACATGTTTTAGCCGTTGTAAACCAGCCAGTGCCGCTTGAACACTTGCACTTGCGTCATCGTAGTGGGCCTCCAACTTTCTCCACATTGTATCATACGCTTCTGGCCTGGTTATATACACTGAACGTATTCATTGACTGGCTTCTCCTTTGACTGACCTCTTCAGTTCATGAGCTAAAGTGGTCTTATTAGAATATACCGACTCCGCCAGTTTTTCCATACAGCCTTAAATTCAGGCCAATCCTTTCTCAGACTACTAAACGTTGGCAAGGAAGTTTTCTTTAAACTTATGTTAGTATTGTTAACTGGTAACCCAGTTGAATAAGGTCGCTGTGACTCTTGTGGTGGCACTGCGGTTGTTGGATATGTAGGAATTGAAGAACTGTGTGGTATTGTATTGTAAAACCAGGATTGGGTTAGGGGCACACCTGTTTGTAGTGGTGGGTTTAGTTCTGGTCTAGGAAAAATTGGCGCACTATATGATGGATTTATTAGTCCCGGGGTGGTACATACACTACCACGGTGCTGGGGGGTGATGATCATGGTGGAGCTGGCAATCTGACTGATTGGGGGGTTTGGGGGAGGCATAAAGGTCAAGGTACTGCTTGGATACTGTTGCTGGGATGTCATACTCATGTCGGAGCTGGCCATCTGACTGGTTGGTGGGTTTTGGGGGGGGGCGTAACGGACAAGGTACTGTTGGGATACTGTTGCTGGGGTGCCATACTCATGACGGAGCTGGCTATCTGACTGGTTGGTGGGTTCTGGGGGGGCGTAAAGGACAAGGTGCTGCTGGGACACTGTTGCTGGGGTGCCATACTCATGACGGAGCTGGCTATCTGACTGGTTGATGGGTTTTAGGGGGCGTAACAGACAAGGTACTGCTGGGACACTGTTGCTGGGGTGCCATACTCATGACGGAGCTGGCTATAATAATAATAATAGCTTTAATTTGAGCAAATTGTAGTCAAAGACTAAATTAAATTTACCCATTACAATGTTGCATTAGAAAGGTAAAAGGGGAAACAACTACAAACATCAAAACTAAGAATACTGTATAGTATATACTGAATTATTTACACTAAATTCTAAAAAGTCATCGTTTAAAAATATGTAGGGCTATACATTCCCTATGTTCTTCCTAATTGTATTGTTCCATTTCACAGCAGATTTGACAATAAAATTGTTTCGAGATCTATTAGTTTTATATGTTGGCAACTGGAATTGTATTCCAGAGGCCTGGGACCTGGTATTTAATGAGTTTGGTAAGCAGGTGGTAAAAGGTCATGTAGTTTATGGTTTTCCTTCATGATGTTGGAGAAAAACATGTCACATAGGTCTTCCAATCTCACACATAGCCGAGGGATGCCAGCAAGATCTAAGGCTTCTTGGTAACTAGTATCAGGGAAAATTATTCGCATGATCCTGCGTTGGATGGATTCAATTTGTTCTCTAAGGTATTCAGTAGTACTGTAAAACCATGCAGGGCAAGCATACTCCAATACTGTTCTTACGCACGTTGAGTAGAAAGTGACCAAGTCCGTATCTGCAACGCCCGCCCTTTTCAGAAGTCTCACAGAGTAAATACGCTTCGCAGCTTTCTTTGTTATCATATTGACATGCTCATTCCACTTAAGATTTGATGACAGATTAACTCCAAGTAATTTATACGTAGATAACCTTTCAATTGGGACGTTGTTGATGGTAATATTATCAATCACTGGAGGTACTCTTTTGAAACAGACAAACATTTCTTTGCATTTTACTGGGTTAAGCATAATTTTCTTTTCGTGTACAAATTCACAAATATCATTCGAGCTTTGTTGGAGATTACTAGAGCACAAGTTATTCACAATATGAAGGGTCTCACTAATAGTCAGGTCGCCCATATACTTCCATCTCCACGATTCTCTGTAAGCCAGAGCGTTTACCATTAATAGAAAAAGAGTAGGTCCTAAAACACTACCCTGCGGAATTCGAGCTGGTACCGGTTTCCATTCAGATGAAAAACCGTTGACACACACTCTTTGGTGCCTTCCTGTCAAGAAACTATGAATACTCTGAATTAGAACAGGATGGACATCCAATTCTCTGAGGATATCCAATAAGATGTTATGATCCACTCTATCAAAGCCTTTACTCAAGTCATAAAAACAGAGTCTAATTGCATCGTTTGGGTTGTCGGTATTGGAATATAGAAAGTTCATGAGATCCACCAATGCACAGGTTGTGGACGAACCTTTAACAGATCCGAAATGGCGATCATCCAATTTGGGGCCAACATGATCAAGTAGTAGTGAGTTAAGATGACTCTCGTAGACTTTCGCTACTGGTGAGGTAAGTGATATGGGTCTTAAATCATTCTCTATATCAACAACTTTGGTTTTCTTGGGGGCTGGGCAGACATCAGCACTCTTCCATTCAGATGGAAAAAGACCTTCCATTAAACAAGAATTAAAGATATTAGTTAAATGTGGGGCTAAAATTGTGCTCAAGTTCTTTAACACAATGGTAGGGATAGGTTCAGGACCACTGGACTTCTTGGTATTAAGGTTGAACAGTTTTCGGGACACTTGACAAGTTGATAGCAAGAAATTATCAGGGACTATAAGAGCTGGAGGGGTAGGTACTGGTTCCAGGGGCTGATATTCGTCAACAATCTGCAGAAACACACTATTAATTAGTTCTGTTAATTCAACCCCAGTTGCTTCATGACCACCAAATCTTAACTTATCAGGAATCTTGTTTGGTTTCTGCCTAGTTATTGCTTTAACACCCTTCCACCATTTTCTGGGGTTGCACGACCTTGTGTTATCTAGATTATACCTATAATGATTGCCCATGGCGAGCTTAATCTCTTTAGACACTTTGTTTCGGAAAAAGTTACGAAGTGGGACATTGCCTTTCTTCCAAGCACGTTGACGTTTAACAATGAGGTTCTTGATGTAACTGGTCATCCATGGTTTGTCGTTGGTGTTTAAACGGCAAGGTTTGGTGGGCATAAACTTGTCAAGAGCAGTGATAACTTTATTATAAAACACTGACATCTTATTTACAACAGAGTCAGCTCTGTAAACTTCACACCAGTTCTGTTTCTCCAAGCATAATGATAGCTTATGCAGATTTTCCCGATTTAGCTTCCGCCTATAGATAATCTTGTTCAGTCCCTTAGGAGCAATATAATCCTGGGGGGAAAATAAGATTGAACAATGGTCTGATCTCCCCAACGGAGGGAGTTGCTGAGGTGCCGTGTAAAATTCTGAAATATTTGTTAAAATAAGGTCAAATGTAACGTCATTACGCGTTGGAAAGTTGACAACTTGCTTTAAATGAAGCTTTCTTTCAATAGATTTTACATTCATACGATTAAAATCGCCCATAATAATAACACTGGCGTCCGGGTAACGGATCAAATAATTGTCTGTGACTTCTATTATATGCTGTTAAAGTAAATTTGCATCTTTCGTATTATTTGGTCAGTAAACAATTCCTACTAAAATCGATGAAAACCCACGAGGGAGCTTTCTAGGGCGAACTTTGAGCCACATGCTCTCATAATCATCACACTGGTGTTGAGAAATTTGTTGTTGTTGAATATCGGACTTTACCCAGGCACAAATTCCACCTCCTAATCGCCCAACTCGGTCACATCGATAGATATTATAGTCTACCAACGTTACATAATCATCACTAATAGATTCACTTAACCAAGATTCAGTAATTGCAGTAATATCAATCGAATACACTTTCATGATTTCGTCAAGTTCTTCAATTTTACTCATAATAGATCTTGAATTTGAGCACAGAATGTTTGGGAAATCGTACCTGCCTCTTACATTTGAGTTAACTTTCCGCGGAATGCTTGTAAGAGCCCTAGGCCTTCGTTCCGTGCGATTGATTTTGTTTGCTGATCGCCATGTAATACGAACTGGGATTCTAGAGAGTTCTTGTTCAGCTTTCTTTCGTCTACCACCTCTCTTTCCTCTCTGGTGCTTGAAGATATTAAATGCTTTGAGCAGCGAAACAACATTACGGCTAACTTGTAAGGTCTTGGAATGAAGACGAATAAGTTCCGAACGCGAGAACTTCTGATGTGAAGGCATACTTCATTTGGGTCGAATTGTTCGCAAACAAACGCACCACAGAAACTGAACATTGGTTTTAGCCAAACATACAGATCACACATTATCTTATCTTGATATAATTTCTATGATAACTAAGTCATTGCTGTTAAGATTTATAACTTTATCAGGAGAGACAGAAACGCACAACCGGCAGCCATGACAGGCGCACCATGACACACTATCTGACTGGTTGATGGGTTTTGAGGATCCTGAATGGTCAAAGTACCACTAGGAGTAGGTGTAACATTCATGGTGGAACCGACACCAGGGGCAGTTGGTTTCACAGGTGACATATCAGCCGAGAGAGAAGTAGGGAGACTATTTGGGGTACTGGGCCCAACAGGCTCTAAAGTTGAACCACCTGCTATAGTATGAACATCACTGGTCACAGGGGGTGTCAAGTTAGTCAACATACCTTCTGTGTTTTTAGGACACTCTTCATCATTTGGTAATATCACAGGCACTTTCGGAGCTTGGTTCTTTTTCAAGTTCAGGTTTATCTTCCTTATTTTATTATACGCAGTCCCCATTATTGCCTCAACATCACTCGGCAAGTAGATGTCTGGCTGTATAGCAGTCAGTTTATTTATCTTGTCACACATTTCATTCAACAAATTCTCCATGTCACTCTTGTCCATTTGTAGACTTTCTGAGCTAGGGGCTTCTTGTGATAAACTGTCATCAACAGCTGAAATTATATCTTGTAATCTGTTCATGTCTCTCCTTAGAGCTGTCATTAGAGGTGCCATTGCTATACTTTGCTTGGATCTCTCATTCTCAGCCTTTATTTTAACATAAACATCTCTCGCTTCAACATATGTTTGTTTAACATTTGCATTGTACGTTGTAATATCGTCCCCATTGACCACACGGTGTTCAACAAACTTTTCATCGGAGACTAGTAACTCATACTCATCAGTAATAATACAAAATTCATCATATACCTTTTCTAGTTCCACAATAAAACCTTTCAGTGTCTCAAAATCGACGTCTCGATGAGTTGCATCGATTAGTCTTCGAGATGTACGCGTAACCGCCATTTTAGACTTGCTACGTTCTTGTTTCTTGGCTTCAACTTCGTCCATTCTGATATTGAATTGTAGATTTGTAGTTGTTTATAGTGCGTAGTCTTCAAGCGACGTTTTATAAATTTGCCAAACAAATTCCAATGTCCCTTCTTCACAAGCACATACAACCGATCACCAAAGCGTTCGTAAACGATTAAATCAGTGTTTTACTGTACCGGGATGCGGTATAAACCAATGAAAACGTTAAGTACAATTTTAGAAACAGGTTTCAACACGACACGTTCAATATCGTAAACATTAAATTTATTTCAACATTAAGCTTCTTATGACATAAACCATACAACTTTAAGTTAGTTCGTAACTTTAACAAACCAATAAAGTCCAACGAAGCCACCTGATGTTTCAATAAACCGTTAAATAAGTCGGTAAAACACTGTTTTGTATCTATCTTCGATAATGGCGGCCATCTTGCAAGTCCCTTTCACATTGTCACGTGACCGATTTTGGCGCGATCGCTCGAAACGCGCGTGTGGTCCTCGCGATTGTACTGTACTATCCTAATACAGACTTGAATGAACAGCAAACCTCCATTTAAGTTAGACTATTGAACTGATACCCATGCGCGTCGTTGGGAGGGCCAAAATACATGTAGAAAGTCAATCAATTACATGCACTTAAAATCTATGAAAAAGTTCTGAATAAAAGCAAAAAAATAGTATATGCAAGGAAACAGCGGCCATTTATTTTTAAAAAATCTATGTTGATCATCATGGGCTTCCTGTGGCGATTGTGTTGAAATTTAAAACTTGTAAACATGGTTAACATGCCCTCGGGGACTACATCTATAAAACCAAGCCGAGAAGATCATAAAACGCAATTTTTACATCAAAACAGGTATGGATTGCACACAATTTATACATTATTAATACTTTCTATACTTTTTTCAAACCGTTTCATTGACTTATAAATCAAAATAAACGGTATTTCGTCCTAGTGTATTTTGACCTGAAAGGTCGCAGGAGTACAATTTCACCACAGTTTGATAGCCTGAAACGTCACACACAAGCATTTGCCCAACGATTCCTTTCCATCAGATGAAAGACCTTTATTTCAACATTCATTCGCCGGAGTTTCGAATTATTTAAAGATAGAGCACATTCTCTATAAGACTTTTTATAAGACCCATTTTTATCAATACAAAATATGGGCTTCGAGAATAAAATTGTTTGGAAAGTATAAAATCGCGTGATTGTCCCCAAACTTGCCAAAATGATAGTCAAGTGATTATTTAACTAGGATTAGGAATTATATTTGATGTGGGGTGCTCTAATTGTCCATAGAAGCCCACCAAAGTGGGGCTAAAAATCACCAGTCCGAACGGCATTTTCGGCGGTGTTCGATAATTTGCATATTTCTTCAGAATACAATGATATTTAACCAAACCAACTATACAGTTGTTCTTAGGAAACATTACCCTTCCAGACTTGAAAGTATGAGAGAAATGGAATTCTTCAAAGTTCGCCATGAATTTTGAATTTTGCTTGATTTTTACGGACAGTCACTCTTAAATAGTTTCCCATAATCTGTGTCAACTTTGCTTTTTGTAGATTGTGCAGGACTACTTAGTGTCATGGACCTTTTTCTGCCAGCATGGTTGTCTTCTGACATCCCTACTTTGGCATCTTGCATTCTCTGTGATGTTGTAAGAAAATGCTGTGTATGTGAGCTTGAAGAGCGATGGTGTTGCATTTCTTTTCAACCTACATGATCTTGCTTCCGATGGGGGCTGAACATAATTTTCTTTTTCAAAATGCCGACTACAGATATAACTGTGCTTTGTTGCTCTCCAACCATCAGGAACATTTTTAACCCTTTTTACAATTTCCTCCCATCTCTGTAAACGATTTTCATCCTTCAAAGGGAACCTTTTATGATTTAAAAAAAATGTTTATTGATATTTTTTATATGTAAATATTATTTTTTTGCATTTTTGACTGAAGTTTTGTTTTTAACATTTTATACCAAGCTGTTACCTGTGATAGGCAATGTTTTCTTTTTCTTGTTTATCATGCTTTCCACAAACAAAACAAGCATATAAGGTATGCTGTATTGTAAATATATTTATCATTTTTTTATTTTTTATTCAATAAAATAGCCTTTTAAATACTTTTAAATGCTTTCTTGCTTTTCTTTGCGACACTGGTCTCTATATATAACTTGCGGAGTTCAGTGATAACCCACTGTTGTGTATTTTTTCGTAATATGTGATTGCCTCTTAAAAACACTATTTTCTCTTTGACTATCGGCTCAATTTTCCCCAAACTCTCAAAATATGTGTATTTAATACGGAACTACGATATTTAAGAGGTTTGAACGTCTAGGTATATTTCAAATTTTCAAAAACTCAGAAAAACCGGTAATCGTGCGGATTTTTTATAATTTTCGGCTTTATTTCAACATTTTTCCGCATTCAGTCTCGCCGCCATTTTGGCAGTAAGTGTTATGCACTCGTCATCTCGCGTGATCACTCGTGATCAGCACGGAAAATTACGGACACGCAAACATTAGGGAAATACGTTGAGTGACACATCTTTATAGTATCTAATCTTTGGTAACACGATAATTTTTTAAGAATATTCTTACAAATGAAAAATCACCAAAAAATATCACTTTTAATTACAAAATTATCAATTTCCCAACATATATATGTTAGGTATGTTATGGCCATATAAAATAAATTCCTTTATTCTCATCACCGCGATGAGAATCAAGGAATTTATTTTATATGGCCTATTATACGTAATATAAGCTTCAGTTTAAGGTAAAATTCAACCACAAAAGCTTTGCAAATCGTTTTAAAATGTTCTTTATAAAACTATTAAAACTGCCTTTAATTATTAAAATGGCTTTATTGATAAACTTTGAGTTTGCAATAAAATGATTTCAAATTCTCGCATGCAAATAACTTTGCTTTATTTTTATTTAAAAATTCAATATAGGCCTAATAAAAAAAATTAATATTATTAATACACTGAAATTATATGCTGTCTTGTTTAGTTGTTTCATATACGCAAAGCCAAAGGGCCAAAGCGGCCGTCAGGTTTTAAAGCAATTATAAAATCAATATTTAAAACAAACTTACCTTCGTTGACGTTGGCTCCCTTCTTTTAGCCGATTCTTTCGCCCTTTCTTTCTTGAAATATACAAAATCTTGCAAAAATGCGAGCAAAAATGAAATATATTTGCAAGAAATTTATCAATCATTAAATCAAGAAATGTTTGCTATTTTGCTGTCGTCATACAGTCGACAGTTGTTATAATGCAAACTTTAAATTGGACCAATCAGTGTCCGCTATTCACGACAGTCCGCCATATTTTTGAGATCAGTGAGGATGACCACCCACCGAACCACTCACGGTAACCCACGTCCGCGCTCATTGATGAACTTTAGACTTGGCTAATGCTTTCATTTCCCTGGGTGTAAATAGCTGGGGGGGATTAGTACCCTCGCACGGCGCTTTGCGCCGTCGGCTCGGCGATAAGTTGTTTAAATTTATAAATTTTAGAATTATAACATCTTTCAGTTGCAATAATTTAAATTGTTGCATTACCAAGGAATGTTTTCAGTTCGCATACTGCAGATTCAGGTAGACCGTTTAATGCGAATAGTTGTCGCGTTAGTTTTAACAGTTGTACGATGACGTTTCTAGGCAGATTTTCGACGTTTCCATGGCGTGGCTTCAACGTTTATTTTTAAAATTTGAACGTTGTAATTACAAAGTAATTGCCAGATAGTATACTTCAAAATAAGGTTTCCATTTTTATATCAATTTTTTAAATAAGTTAGGGTTAGGTTTAACCTAAAAAGTGATGCAATCTGGATAGTGGAATAAGTTGATTACTGTAGGCACAATTTTTGGCCACTTATAAATAGTCAAAGGTTGTGCATAAATAAGAACAGTCTTTAATATTACCGCCTTACGGAGACTTTATATTAATTGTGCTACTCTAGGATCTAGAAGGTCCTAGAAGAACCATAGGTCCCATACTCGACTAGCAACATAATCAAGTTAGTTATGTTAATTCATTATATGTAGGATCAATGTTAAAGGCAAGGTGGGCTATAAGCTATAATCATTTGTATGGCTTATAGAAGGCTAATTGCCGTGAATAAATTGAATAATGAATGTAGCACAATATTAAATAGTTGCATGATGACGTCAAAGAAACTAGTCAGACTACATTTGCAAGTTTTGCAACTCTCATCGCTTAAATTCCCCATACCTGAATACAAAATAAATGGTAAACAACAATTACCTTTTACATACCATATATAAAACTCACTTCCTGAACTTTTGAGCGCAAATGTAATGTATTAAAAATGTATATCATATTCACAGCAGTTAATACCATTAATATATCGCGGGCGCAATACAAAACAAAACACGAGAATTTTAAAATGTTTTGATTTGCAAATAAATAAATAATATTTGATGTCATAAAATTTTTTAAATTTAACTCAACACAAACTGGTAAGTTCATGACATGTATAATTTACTTATATGTTGTTATATTGCAATTATGTACCCTACTCCTTTGAAAATTGTTTGCAATTGCATATGATGTGAACATGTGGTCATGTATTATAGTTGTGTCATGGATTTAATAATACCCCAATGGCTTCGAAATAGACAATGGATGGAAAAAGTCATGAATATTGAACTTATTTACCCTTTAAACGCTTGATCGTCATGCCCATACAGTGTATTGTTTGTTTCCAGAACCCCCTCAAGCAGACTTCAACTTTTTTTGTTAAATTGTATATTTTGCTTCATACACTGCATGTGTGTGTGTTTGTGGGAACACTCATGTTTGGATGCTTGGCGTAGGTTAATGGTAATTTCATTGGAGTCATCAGGGATATAGTTGTATATTCCTGAAATTACCTCTAAACACCTAAAACAGCATTCCCTAAAATTTTAATTGTTTTCTTACATTGCCCTATATCGCTCAAACTCACATTGCTTAAATTGCAGATTTTGCTTAAATCACCTAAATTTGCTTAAACTTGCATTATCTCGTCATTGCCCCAGAGTAGGGCCTACTGTTGCCATTGCTTTTTAGTCCCCAATACTTCAGTGAGTCATGCTTTGGAAATGACAATAATTTTTTATTACCCAACCCTTGAGTTGTTTTGTTTTTCATTTACCCAACCTTTTACTTACTCAAAATTTAGTTTACCCAACCCTTTTTTCTTCAGTGCCACCCCCCACCATAAATAATGACCGGTCCCTAATAGGGTTTAGTTTTGCGTTAGGATGATTTTTTCTACGTTATAAAAACGGAAACCTTATTTTGAAGTATACTATTTAGCAATTACGTTGTAATTACAACGTTCAAATTTTAAAAATAAACGTTGAAGCCATGCTTTAGAAATGTCGAAAATCTGCGTAGAAACATCATCGTACAACTGTTAAAACTAACGCGACAACTATTCGCATTAAACTGTCTACCTGAATCCGCAGTAATACAGTCAGCATTTGTTTGACAAAAATCAAATTAATCCAACAGGATTATAAAGTAGTACACTAATAGACCTCAGCAGAAACAAGGTTCTTGAGAGAAGTGGGAAACATTCAAATTTAGTCTATAATGCAAATCGTCCATTAAGTATACACCGTAGATTAAAGGAATGAGCATGCTTGGATATGACTGCAGATGCATTATTTATAAAAAAAATTATTTCGTATATCAAATTATCAATGAATTATTATATATTATTTTAATTAAAAACTGACAATCAGCAAAATAGTAAATATTAATTTTTAAAGCAAGGGAGTGGTCATAAAGTTTGTTAATATGGGGAGCAATTAAGCTTATCATGTGGGTGAAAGGAAGTCGAAAAGTTTTGAGATTAAAACTCATCCTAACTGTATCTAAATTGTTCCTGAGCGAATCATTCCTGAACAAAGATGTATTGCACCCTAATCTGACCTAATCTGTCCAATGCTAGATGATTGTATGAGAGAGAGACCACTAGGAGAGACCACTAATACTCAATACAGGTACATATATTGGATTATTGGTTGTGTGAAATATCTTATTATTTTTCCTTGAAAAGTTGAGGGTTTGTGGTACGAAACATTTGTCAGAATGTTCAAATGAAATTAAAATAACTTTTGCCCTACACATAGCATATATACTTTATGACTGCTCCCTAAAATTTTTTTTAAAAACTGTATAATTATAAAATCACAATTTAAATTACAAATAATATATGTATTCAATTAATTTAATTTTAATTATGGAATGTACATTTTGTACAATTTGTGAAATTGTACACCTTCCCCCCAGTGTTTTGTTTTCTTCGGGAGCACTTGATGCCCATGTGCCCCCTCTCCCGGCACACCCAACATACCACTCCTATAATGATGAAATATATATATTTTAAAGTTAATAGCAATTAGAACAACATTAAAATAGAAGAGAAAAAAGACTGTACGAATTGCTTACCTCTTTAATCATCACCAATAATTTGTTAAGGCTATTTATATCATTAATCATGCATAATTTTTCCAAACCTCGTTGATTTCTTCTTCCGCCTTCTTAGAAAAGAAAGACCAGACTAAGAAGGCGGAAGAAGAAATCAACGAGGTTTGGAAATACATTTACCTGAAAAACAAGATTGATCAAAAGTCAGCTGAACGTCTTGTTTCGACACATAGTGTATGTCCAGTTATCTACCTGCTTACAAAGACCCACAAATTTAAATCGGTATCATTGAGAGAACTTGACGCTGAAGATATCAAGGTTCGTCCTATCATTTCGGGATGTGAAAGCCCTGCTGATAAAATTTCGTGGTTGATTCACAAGATTTGTGTTCCACTCCTGAAGTATGTGAAAGCCCATTTAACCAACACCGGTGATCTACTGGCTAAGCTTCGAAGCCTAAAGCAAGATGATTTGAAAAATAAAATCCTTTTCAGCCTTGATGTGGTTTCTTTATACCCGAGCGTAGACAACATGGCAGCCGTTGATACCCTTCGCGATTACCTGTACCAACACAGAAGACACCTACAGTTGTATGGTATTCCTATTCCAGATATTGTGCTATTGACCAAGATTGTGCTAAGCAACAGTTGTTTTTCGTGGAGTGGTACATACTTCAAGCAACTACGAGGATTGGCAATGGGAAACCGGTTGGCACCTATACTGGCCATCCTTTACATGGACAGAATAGAAAATCAAGCTATATATGCAGATACGAGTCTCTCCACCAAACCCTACCACCGGTATATCGACGATTGCATTACAACAGCACAGGATAACAGCGAAGCGAGATCGATACAGGAAATCCTAAATGCACAAGACCCTTCCATTAAATTCGAGATCGAGTTGCCAGACGAAGAGGGCTACCTACCATTTCTCAACACCAAACTTCGAGTAAAACCTGATGGCACTTTGGACACGGCATGGTACACGAAACAAGCAAACAAAGGAATAATGATTCATGCATTATCTCACCATCCGAAATCAATGAAGATTGGAGCTATTGAAAACACACTGAAAACGATTTCGTTGATTTCGTCCGATAATAACCTTAAAGCAACAGCTGAGAGCGAACTCAAAAATCGCACCATCCGAAATGGCTATGCAGCAGAAACCCTCACAACTGGCAGCCTAAGGACATGCAAAACAAAGAAATCATCAAATACACCAAATCCAGATGCTTGCTTGGTAATCACGTTTATTTCGGAAGAATTTACTGCGGACGTCAGAAGAACTATCAGGAAAAAAGGCTTAAACATCAGAGTGATACAGCGCCCGGGAAAGTCGCTTAGAAGCATGCTCGTCCAATCCCGTCCGTATGATAACCATTGCCGAACTGGTCCGAAATGTAAGTTTTGTCAAGTTTGCGACAAGAAGAATATGTGCTTCCGGAAGGATTTGGTCTACTCCATAAAGTGCGGTTTATGTGACAAGAACCATGGAATTTACGTGGGAGAAACCAGCCGACCATTCGCTGTGAGGTTCAATGAACATCTTCGCTCTGCGAGAAATCCCGATGCGAAATCTTACCAACATATGGCATTCTCGAAACATTACAAACAGTTACACCCGGGTCAATCGCCTAAGCTTATTCCATCGATGTTGAAGAAAACAAAAGGAACATTGGAAAGAAAAGTCACGGAGGCATTCTACATTGAAAGAATGCAACCTGACCTGAACTCAAAGGATGAGCTGCAGGAAGTTAAGGGATTTTGTATATAGTTTAATGTAATTACATATGCAGGCACGGACACGAAATTTTAACGCTCTCACGGACACGCCATGGGGGGGGGGGGGAAATTAAGCGCGCGCACGGACACGAATTAGTTTGAAGCGCACGTCAGCTATTATACGCAATCCTAACGGATTTTGTCTAAATTTGTAATTGTTTTTAAAGTTTTATATCTTTAGTTACTTTTTAACCTGAAGATGGAGTTATACTCCGAAACGTAGTTATTAAAATAATCTTTTTGTACTGAGCCTATATGGTCTAATTTATTCAAACACAGAATTACTAAAATGCGGCTTAGAGAAAGTTCCGTCATACAAGACATAAAGTAATTGTTTTATAAAATAACAACAACACGATAGTCTTCCGTGTTTGGATGGCCTGATCCAAACACGGCTTTCGACCAATCAGAACACGCGTTATATACATGTTATTTTATAAAGGGTTTTGAACTTTTACATCCGGACTTTTCTTTATCTCCTTAGGCTTTGAGTAGTTAACGTTCGCATTGCTACCAAACTTCATGTCCTTTGTTGCTAGTGTCAGTGTATTGTTGTATCCTGCTATCTTTTCTTTAAGTATAATCATATTGGATGGTATTAATATTAATCCGGGTGATATTGCCATGTTAAGTACAACGTTAGTATCCTTTATTGCTTTCCTCATATTGGAAATGGATACCGATACATCGTCCTGCGCAATGGTGTCTTTGAAAAGTTTGTGGAATACGTCCTGAGTCTGCAGGGACTTCGCTCCCTTACCAACGATAGACCAACGTGTTTGTGCTTGCGCACTCAGTACGCAATAGACATAACTTTCGACAGATTGTTGAAGTAACTTTAATCCTAAAGGCGTCAACCCGTCTGATTTCTTGGCAATGAACCAGGTGTAATCCGTATCGCTGTTGATAGTGACCCTGTCTACTTCCTGATAGCTAATTCCCATTACACCACCGGTATGGCAGTATGAATTTCTATAGTTTCTAACCCTACTCTTATCCGGAAGTCTGCTGTGCCAGAGACCTATTTCCATTTGTCCTCGGTGGAATTTGTTAACCCATGTTTTCCGTGTGGGCATGTTTCTCTGCAGGGATTTTAGCATATCCCTTGTTACATACTTTGTGATTTTGCTCGGATTTCTGAGGAACCTACGCATGTGGTAGTATAGGTGATACCTAGCAATACTCGTGATTATCTTTGAGGTTCCCTTGCTTTCCAGCAGATGTTCTGTACTTATTCCACACTTATACGTGATAATGTAAGCAGCCAGTATCGATGCAAAATAGGGGTCTTTTATATAATTGAACTTTACCCTGGTAATATCCTTTGCGGTACCAGTCCACTTTGTGTCGAGATCGGCAAAGTTTGTTACAAAACTGTTGTGAGAGGTGTTGGTGCAGTCGCAAACGTAAATTTCAAACCTATTTATTTTGTATGGAAGCGGATCCCTGTTATGACTAAAGGTTTGAACGGTTCCATAATTACCCCATATTCTCTCCCATTGGTAAAGATACCACGTCCACTTTTTATTTCCCCTGAATGTGCTGGATTTGATGTCGTAACTTTCCAGGTCCGTAACCTTAAAGAATATGTCCTTGGATTCCAAAGTTCCATCCTTTGCAAATGTAACCTGAAATTCAAATTTAGACATTTCCGCACCCGGATATTTTTTCCTAAAATCCTCTTTCATCTTCCGTCTTTCAATTGGTGCTGCCGCCCTTACTTTTTCATAGTTCTGTCCATAATATTCGCGGAATATGTTTCCACTGGTACTCATTTTATTTAATCCATGTAATAAAAATGAAGAAGTTAACAGTGTTTATTGAGGATGGAACTACCGAGTTTTTCCCAGACAAGTGTATTACGACGAACGCAGAGTCGGAATTAATCCTAAAGAATGCAACCATCTACTGGGCTTATAAAAACGTACGTTTGAATGTTAACGATAATATTACATATGGACAAAAGAAAATTACCTTCGAAGATGGCTACTGGACCTTTGATGCAATAAAGAAAAAACTAAAGATAGATGGAATAAAAATAGAACGTAACACACACAACAATACCTGCAGGATATATCCAGCAACCGGGACAGACCTACATTTAAATGAATTTGCTCCACTAATAGGATTCCCAGAAACAGAAGTCCTAACCCCCGGAGTGTGGGAAAGGTCTCCCTATCCTATAGAAATCAATCACGGTCTTAAATACGTTACTATCGACTGTGATGTTGTTAATACATCCCTAAATTTCAACGTAAACGGTAAAGGAAGTTTTACAGTGAGCACGTTACCCGTGCCGTCTGACCAGCACCTGAACGGAACAACAACATTCTTCAGGGATATTGGAAGTAGGGTTTATGTTAATAATGGTTCCCATAACAGATTTTCCTTCAGTATTAGTACGAATATTGGTGATAAGGTCGATATGTCTGCACTCCTTGAATTTTATATCACATGAATAAAAATGGAAGATAAACACTTTGTTACCGAGCAAGGGTTAAGAGATATCTACTACAATCCAGGTACCGGCTATCAATCCGCAGAGAAGCTCTATCGGAAGGCAAAGGAGGAGGGACTGGACGTTAGTCGAAAAACGGTGAAGGACTGGTTAAAGACTCAAGATACCTACACAAGGTATAAGCCTATCGTTAGGAAACATAAATTTCAGAGAACATTCGTTAAGGACCTAGCGGATCAGGTGCAGATGGATCTAGTGGATATGGGAAAATATAAAAATCAGAACAAAGGATATTACTGGATACTGACAGCTGTTGAGATTCTGAGCCGGTACGGATTTGCTATTCCCGTCTATAGAAAGGATACGAAAAATATGACGAAGGCTGTGAACTTTCTATTGGAGGAATTCAAGAAAAGGTTTGGGAAATACCCAGAAGTTGCTCAGTTTGATGAGGGAAAGGAATTCTACAACGTCGGTGTCAGGAACCTTTTACAGAAACACAACGTCCGCTATTTTTCCACAAACTCTGACAGAAAGGCAGCTATCGTCGAAAGATTTAACAGAACCTTGAAAACAATGATGTGGAAGTATTTCTACAGCAAGGGGACTTACGACTGGTTCAACGTCATAGATGAGCTCACGAATAATTACAATCGTACCAAACACAGCAGTATACTAATGAGATCCGCTGACGTAAACAAGTCGAACAAGGACCAGGTATGGATCACGCTATACGGTTATGGATTAGGAGAATTTCCATTGCCTAAGTTTAGAGTTGACAACACGGTCCGAATAACAAGGTATAAGAATATCTTTACCAAGGGATACGAAGCAAACTTTACGGAAGAGATATTCAAAGTCGTAAAAGTATTCAGGGGAGATCCTAACATGTATGAAATAGAAAGCCACGACGGAGAACCAATCATCGGAAAGTTTTACGAAGAGGAACTAGCCGCTGTGGACAAAAGGGACGATGTGTATAGGGTGGAGAAAATTCTGAGAAGAAGAAAGGGTATGGTACTGGTCAAGTGGTTGGGATATGATAGTAAACACAATTCGTGGATTCCTGAAGAAAATATTAAGGATATAAAATATATGGCTGACATTGAACTGGAAGAAACAAACCGCGACAATGATCGCGAAGCTGAAGAAGCTGGAACGGTGGAGGAAGAAACAAGTTTCATTGACAATGATGATGGGAGACGGGACGAAAGTATATTAATCCCCATTGGATTCAATCCGGACGTTGATGGATCAAGACCCAGCAGTTCCACACCAAACATCAGACGGGATGTTGGGGTAATGAAACGAGCCTATACTCTGGATAAAAAGGATTTCCTCAAAAGGGAACTAGGAGTAAATATCAATAAGGGAGACGGTCCATCTTCCACCATCATCTTTGACAAAATGAAACTAACCGTAAATAAGGCTGGAACAAAAATTAACGGTGCTACATTCAAAGATGTCAAGATCATTATCTCGAAGAATGGTAAAATGATATACTCCGCGGATAAGAACAAGGAATCCGTCGTAAATGAATACAAGGAACTGATCAGGAAAGCTAAAATAGAGCATTCAAAAACACCTGCAGCCTTGGTAGAGGAACAACTCGAACGACAGAATTTAGATGCTCCTCAGGAACTTGTGGATAACGTACTGGAAAATATCGTTGAAAGAATGGATGATGAACTGTCTAATCAAAGCGAAGCCATCGGTAATAGTACAATTATAACGGAGAATGAACTAAGGGAACTGAGAGGTATTCTGAACGTAAAAGGAAACTCGGGTAAGCAAAAGATTGAGTATCTTGGGGTAGAAAGAAACCACTGGAAAGAACTGGCTAGAATCGAACAAACTGCAGGACGTGAACAAAAGGCTCTCCTGTACGAAGCAATGGCAGACATGGCAGAACTGAAAGCGGATGAAATAAGGTTAAGATCAAACGAACGACCAAAAGGACCGAAAGCCTTGTCCATCGTGGAAGAGGAAACGGAAATAAGCGATCTTACGAGGTTTGAAAGATTCAAGAAATGGGCAAAAGAAAATATAGCTGGAATATCAGCCGTAGCAATATCTGTAGCAGGTATCATCACCACGATTATTATGGAAGCTAGAAGTGTAGCAAGAAAGGGAGCGAGAGCAACGAGCAAGTTCGCAAAAGCAATGGCAAACCTAGCCGGGAAGGTCGGACCCGTACTAGCATCCGTACTGAACCTCATCGCTAAGGTTTTAGGATGGGGAACAAAGGGTATTGCATTCCTAGCGAAAAATCTTTGGATTTTAGCACTGGCATTAACCTACTTCCTGTACAATGAATACAAAAAGAAAAAATAAATACCATATAATAAACAATGGGAGATAGAAAAGACTTTATGAACGAAGCCTTCGACGCAGGACTTATTACGCTCAGAGCAGTCGCCGTGTCCGTGATAAGCAAAAAATTTGCAGGGAATAGTCTCGGAGTACCTAGTAGTCCGAAGGGAATTTTAAAACTAGCCGTAGCTCTTGGAGCCGGTGCGGTCGGAGTCCACTACCTACAGTTCAAAAAACTAGTACCGGATGATCCATTTAAATAAAGGAAATGACAAGTGTTGTAGTCGGAGGATTATTCAACGCCGTAGCATTTGCAGGAGCCGGATTCCTGTTCAGCAAATTAAGCCATAGCGGATACGAAGGTGAAATGAAAAGACATAACAAAGCACTGGAAAAATTAGCCAAAGCCAAAGAAAAATGGTATGAAAGTCAAGTGGAAAAAAAGAACAGAATTGCAATACTTAGGCAAGAACTAGCCAATGCCAAATCGGATATGGAAGTGACAAACCACGCTCTTGACTCTCTGCGGAAAGCGCAGGAGGAATTAACTAACAAAGAGCCGACAATCCACGATTACTACAAACCATCGAGCGAAATGGAAGAATACCAGCAGATCACGATCGGAATACTAGGTCTGGGGTCTGGGTTCATAATTACGAGACTATTATGAAAAAAACGGAAACAAAAAATCCTGTTGGGTTGTATACCACCGGGTATGTTAAGGGGTCCCTGTTTCAGGGACCCCTTTATATTTTCAAGTGTTGTTCTCGTCCTTTCCTCAAGCATTTTGGGAAGGTGGGTGAAGCGCCCACCCTCCATTACGCTGATCTGGTCACGTTTCGCGACAAGATCTATATCCCCGAGTCTGGATTCATTGCTTTTTCAAATCTCAAAAATTTGAAAAAGAAAAATGACTATGTGAAACGATTTTTTTTCAGGGGAACCACACATACAATAAAGTATGGATTCGAATAGGTCAGAATCTTTATTAGACACAGATATTCCCAGCGGCTTACCACCAACTCTAACACCGACCAGATACGAACCGCCACCACCGCTGCCAACAGCAACGACAAAAACATACACATGGCGTGAATGGGGTGAGTGGCTAGTCAAAGACGTGCCGAAAGATATAAAAAGGAAAGTCACCGACGCGTACAGAATATTTAAAAACAAGGTTTTAAGTCTGTACGGTAAGCAACCAACGGTAAAATCAACGTTAGTCTCTAGTGCCATCAAAAAGACTACCGCTAAATGGATGATACCCGGTGATGAGTTCAAAGATCCTTGGGTTTTCCTAAACAGCGCAAGATCTGAAGTGGAAAGGATCGTCAACAGCGTTGAAGGTGCAAAGAAAGTATATCTAGTATTAACCTGTGAACTCGTAAAAGAAGACCCAAAAACCAAGCAGAAGACATATGTAATATTCCGCGGAAGAAGTTACACCCATACAATCACAGTTAACATCAGCGGAGAGTATGAAAAAATGCGTGAAAAAATGTTAGAAAGTCTTGCAAAATTTCAGAAGAACGGCAGTAACTGGAGATTACACAAAGTGGAAAAGTTAGAAGTGTCTGTCACAAAGTATGAACCGTTGAAAGGGAAGGGATATACAACACCGCTCCCAAAACCTCTAAAAGAGAAGAGAGTCATCATTAACATAAAAAATGAGGACAACCAGTGTTTTAAATGGGCAGTGACTAGAGCTTTGAATCCTGTGAAACGTGACGCATGTAGAGTCACAAAAATCTTAAAATTACAGGTTAAAAAATACAATTGGGAAGACAGAGTGTTCCCAACGAAAGTTAAAGATATTCACAAATGGGAAGAGAAAAATAATATAAACATTAACGTATTCGGATACGATGAGGAAACAAAAAAATTATATACGTTAAAGCTTGGAGAACAGGAAAACCCTACGGAAACGGTAAGTCTATATCTACACGACGACAATCACTACTGTGTAATTAAAGATCTAAGTCGTCTTATAGCGGCACAACTTAGCAAGGGTAAACGGCGGAAATTCATCTGCTTACGATGCATAAATGCATTCGGGACGGAAAAACTCCTAGCTGAACATACAGCACTATGCGAAGATCATAAACTACAACACCATTATTACCCATCCAAAGGTAGCACAACATTCTTCAAAAACTTTGAACGGTTACATGAAGTACCATTCATGGTGAACGCAGATTTCGAATGTTTTCTAGAACCAATGGATCATGTAGAAGGTGATCCAAAAACGTCATTCACAATTCAATATCAAAAGCACAGACCAAGCGGATTCTCATACACGATAAAATGTATGGATAAGAACGTTTACAAAACAAAATTTATAACGTACACAGCACAAAATAAGGATGAGGATATAGGAAAAATCTTCGTTAACTCACTGGAGGAAAATCTGAAACCGGTGTATGAAATTCTTAAAAAAGTAACGCCAATAAGCATGACAGAAAAGGATAAAAAGAACTACACTGGATCCAACAACTGCTATGCATGCAATATACAATTTGGAACCGTCAGGATAAATGAATGGAACGGTAAGGAAGAAAAAGTAATTAAGTGTAGAGATCACTGCCATATCACTGGCAAATACCGAGGAGCCGCATGCGATAAATGCAACCTACGAATGAGAACACCAAAGTTCGTACCAATACTTTTTCACAATTTGGAAAGTTATGATGCACATTTGTTTGTAAAAAGTCTAGGCTTCAGTGAGGGTGATATTAATTGTATTCCAAAAACAGACGAAAAGTATATATCATTTAGTAAGAAAATTCCTATGGAAACCATCATATCACCCGATGGAGAAAAGACATTATATCTGGAAATGCGGTTCATCGACTCATACAAGTTCACACTTGCGTCACTTGATTCCCTCGCCAACACGCTCGGCGAGGATGACTTCAGAACATTGGAAAGTCAAATGAAACACTCGGGAATAGAGCTACTGAAGAGAAAAGGGGTGTTTCCATATGAGTTCATGACAGGCTATGACAAATTGCAGTATGATAAGCTACCCAGTAAGAAAGAATTTTACAGTAAGTTAAATAACCCAGATATAAGCGACGAGGACTATGAACATGCACAAAAAGTCTGGAAGACGTTCGATTGTAAAACGATGCGTGACTACCACGATCTGTATCTCAAAACAGA